CTCTGATTCCTTCCTTGGTTCATCACACCCACACTTGTGTTTCTTCTCCGGCTCAAATCCTTTTTCCTGTCTCGTCCTGGCACCTTGCCAGTCCTATGTTCAGGGGATGTGTCATGCACCTGACGCTGCTCCTGCTGGGCAAGATGCACCCTACAAAGCATGGAGGAGATGGGCGAGTGGAGCCCAGTGACAGGACCGCTGGAGCAGGTGGTAGCCACTATTCGGTTTCAGGGGCGCACCAGGGAGGAGGGTGCATGGTGATGCAGAAAGTGCATCATGCAGGAGTGCAGCCTGCTTCCAGAGTGGCTTTTCTCCTTCCTGGAAATCGCAGTGGGTGGGTGTTCCCCGCACCCTCATCTTTGGCCCGGCTCATTCTAAGGCCCATGACTTAGGCCAGAAGCCAGCCAAGAGATCCTGACTCTGCATCTGTGTCTGTGGCCTGGTAATGAGCCATTTGCTGCAAGTGACGTCTCAAAGTTGGGGTAAAGGAGGCCTCGGCACAGTGACCGCATGAGGCCCACAAAGCCCGAGCTCTGGGCCGCTGGCTCTGTGCCAACCTGAGAACCTGACCGCTCTGTGGCCGGACCTCTGAGGGCAGAGAAGACCCCGCGGCCAGAGAAGCGGGTGTGCTGTGGGGCTGAGTGCTCCGAAAACCAGCGGGGAGAGTGCTGCAGAGGCCCTCGCTGCCACTGGCATGTGGCAGGCATTTGCTAGACTTTCTCCCAGGGAAGTTGCAATGGGAAGAGGATGGTGGGGGGCCCCTCTCCAATGGAGCCGTGTCCTGGTGCTAGGCAGCACTAGAGGGCTCCACTAGACGGGAAAAGTCAGGAACACAAGACCTCAACATTTTGTGGAAAACACTCCAAAAAACAGGTTACAAAATGGCAGTGGAAACTTACAGCATCTTCAGAGTTTTGAGGAAACTATTTTGTTGTTTTTTTTTTTTTAACTTTATTCATGAGAGACACACAGAGAGAGGCAGAGACACGGGCAGAGCGAGAGAGCAGGCTCCATGCAGGGAGCATGATGTGGCACTCGATTCCGGGACCCGGGATCATGCCCTGAGCCGAAGGCAGAGGATCGATCAACCGCTGAGCCACCCAGGTACCCTGAGGAAATGACTTTGAACCTGGAGTTCCCTGTGTAGTCAGGAGGAGCAGCTGTGCAGAATAAGGATTCAGGCAAACGGCCAGGGCGTGTCCCATCAGCAGTGCGAGCAGGGCCCCAAGCCCCGGGAGCCCAGGCAGGAGCCCTGTGTCTGGGCTGTGGGGCCACGTGGGGCGGGTGCGGGCCAGCCCACTCCTGGGCTCTGGGGAGGATGGCGATGCTGCCCCTGCCAGTGACGGACATTTGGCTTGTAGACACAACGTGCCAGGTTTAAGAATCCAAATGCAGGGGATCCCTGGGTGGCGCAGCGGTTTGGCACCTGCCTTTGGCCCAGGGCGCGATCCTGGAGACCCGGGATCGAGTCCCACGTCGGGCTCCCAGTGCATGGAGCCTGCTTCTCCCTCTGCCTGTGTCTCTGCCTCTCTCTCTCTCATTCTGTGTGACTATCATAAATAAATAAAAATTAAAAAAAACAAATTTAAAAAAAAAAAAGAATCCAAATGCAGAAACACAGAGGTGATTTGCTGAGAGTGGTCAGGAATTGGGAGAAAGCAGCAGGGGAGCAGCTCGGGGGGAGCCCGGGCCTCATGTCCTGTTTGCAGTACAGACTCTTGAGAAACTGCACGTACAGGGGTCAAGGAAATGGAGGTTTGCACCATTACAGCACTGCTCTGTGTACAGGAAGTTGAGGCCGGTGGGCTCAGGGGCACGGGCACCCTTCTGTTCTTCATCTGTCATTAATTTGACAGAAATCAGCCAGCACGGTGGGCACGCGGCCCCCTGTGCCCTGTTCCTGGCCCTCCAGGACGCCGTTCCTTCCTGCCATCTCACATGTTCGCTCAAACTCATCCCTCACTTGACACACACACACACACACTGCCACGGGCCGGGGGATGGCAGGAACCCTTCCATCATGTTAGGACAGCAGAGGTATTTCCACATAAGTGGGCGGCAATGGACTCTGGGTCAGAGGTGCACATGCACACACGGGCATCACCGAAGTTGATCCAGGCTTGTGAGGTTGCTGAGAACCCGTCACCCCACATCGTGACTCAGGGCCCACCAGGTCGTCCCTGCCCATGGCTACGTCCATACTGCAGCCTCCATTGCCCCGATTGCCCCCAGGCCCTGCCCTCCTGCAGCCCATCACAACAGGGCAGTTCATCACCCTGGGCCCCTCACCCGGGGCCTGAGATGGGGGAGGGGGCTTTCATCCACCCACAGCCACCTGCAGGCCAGTCTCCCCACTGCTGGAAGGAGCCTGAGCTTCCCAGTGGCTTGTTTAGGCCCCCAGCCCCCAATCCCCGCTCCTGCCCACCCGGGCGGCCTCTCCACAGGATGATGTCCAGACACCTACAAGCGGCTAAACGGACGGGTCTCAGGATGACCCCTGGAGTGCAGCCTGCTTCCAGAGTGGCTTTTCTCCTTCCTGGAAGTCACAGTGGGTTGGTGTTCCCCGTACCCTCATCTTTGGCCTGGCTCATTCTAAGGCCCACCCAGAGCATGCCCACCCTTGCCCACTGGCAGCTCCATGCACTCAGTTGTCCTGGTCTTCTCCAGAACTTTGCAGTGTGGTGTGCCAACTTTCAGAATGCCACATGTCACTTAAGAAAGGAATGTATCTCAACTCATGGTTAGATTTTTCTCCAATGAGAATAAAAATAATCGTATCTCAGGTTTTTTTCTTCCATTTATGGCTGCTTTTTTTTTTTTTTTTTAAGTCACTGGAACTCATCTTGGTGCCAAGAATGAGTCATCCAACTTTGCTTCTCTTTGAGGTGGTAATTCAGGTCTTCCCTGGCAACATGGTGCTCACGCCGGGTTATCTTATAGACCATCTGGTTCCCGAGGGCTGCTCTGTGTCAGGAGCGTGTCATTTCATTGACAGCACACCAGGACAGGTGTTAAAACAAATGGTGGCTATTTCTGCCTATCTGTTTTTCTCCTGTGACTTTAAAATCACCTTGTCTGTGTTCTCAGGTAAGGCATGTGTGGGCATCTGCTCCCTGCCTCAGGAGGCTTTGTCTGTGCTCCTGTGTCATTTAAGCACAATTTTCATGTGGAACCTTCCTTGTTTACTACTAGAAATTTTGTCATTGTTTTGTAGCTATTGAAAACATGACTGGGCCGCTTGGGTGGCTCAGTGGTTGAGTGGTCTGCCTTAGGCTCAGGTTGTGATCCCAGGGTCCTGGAATTGAGTCCTGCATTGGGATCCCTGCTTCTCCCTCTGCCTGTGTCTCTCATGAATAAATAAAATTAAAAAACAAAACAAAACATGACCTTCCATTATATTTTGACTTTTCTGCTAATTTTGTGTTGTTAAAAACTTAGTCTTTTTGGTCACAGCTTTTTATCGGCTTCTCTTAGATTTTCTGGGCTCATGATCACTTACCACAAGCAATCTCAACTCCTCTACGATTTCATGGCTTCTCCCCCCGCCCCCCACTCCCCTACAGCATTTATTTGGCCACATAGGCCTTTCTCTGTAACAATACCTGATGGACACAAAGGCAGACATTAGCCTGCTGGCTCAGCCCAGCGGGCGACTGTGATGCAGGAGGACAGGAGAGCTTCACTCCCGTCTGCCCTGCATCTGCATTTCTCTGTCCGTTGTCCTGGTCATGGCCTATAAGTTGCTAAAGAGTTATGAGGAATGTGTCGTTTGTATACCACAAGTTTTATTAATGTAATTTTAAGGCCAATTAAACTAATTTTATTCAGAGTAAGTCTACATTAAATTACAAGATTAACAATCTCTAGAAATAATGAATGTAAAATTTAAGAAGTAGAAATCTATTTGGTCTTTTATAGACCACATATTATAGAATTGACAAATGAAAATTTACAAATATAGAAATAGTGATACTTCAAGGGTGAGGATTTTCACATGGAAACCCCAAAGATGTCCTATTTTAAACACGCATGTTTCAAAAAGGGAGAAATTTTTAATAATTTAGCACAAAATTAAATTATATAAACTTGGTATATCCCAGAAAATATTGCTTTAAACACTTATACCATGATCAAAATTCCTTTGGTAGCTTTTAATAAAAATGAAACATGCTATCATGTAAAATATAAAGTACTTTAAATGTTACCAGAAAAGTATCTTTGTTACAGTTACCATACCAACATCATCGTCCCCCTGCTCAACCTCACCTATACACACACAACATGAAACCAGGTGCCAACAAAATCCTTTTAATCTTTTGACAAAATAACCTCTGCTTCACAATATCAAGACTTTAAGTCTCCTATAAAACTTTTTACAGTGGTCACAGCACAGATAGCAACGGCTGTCCCTGCGCATGACTGTAAAAACAAACCAAACTTTATTAGAGCAATCGTACAAATACTGCAATTAAATCAAACAGCAGTTACCCCGATGCAAAAACAGGGGCTGCTAGACGCAATCTTAGAAGAGTAAACGCAAACACGCTGTCCCCCAAACCCCTAAACAGAAAATTCACAAATAACTCAGTGGAAATAGAACAAAGACGTGTGTGGGTTCACCGCAGCAAGCACACCTGACCCCATGTTGTCTCGGCACACAGGAGAGGTCTCACCAAGAAACCTCGCTCTAAAAAGTCAGTCATCAGAGCTTAGAATGTATGGAAAATAAAGGAAACAGATACCAGGATTAGGTTGCATAATCGATTAGCCAGTGTTTGACACCAACGGTTTCTTCCTAATGCTTGCCCGCCACGGGCTCTTGTTTCTAGCCTATGCTTCCATCAGCTGAGAGAGCCTGCCTCCAGGAGTCTACTGGTCATCCCTGCAGCCCAAGAACACAGCAGGGAGGATCTTTCTAGCCATGTGTTCATGACCACACACACACACACACACACATCCCAAACCAAACCTTCAGCTTTCTGCCACAAGAACAACACCTCACAAAGGAAAAACCTCTTTATACAAGGTCTTCTTGTCCAATCTCAGTCATTCTGCAATGGGGCAACAGAAACGATTGAAACACCAAAAAGAGTAAGAGGAAGGGCTGGCTGGTGGGAAAGATGCGTATGCTGTTTGCAAACCCTCAGACTTTGTGAAAGGGCGATCTGAGAATCAGCTCTTCTTCTAATCCCAAAGCCTCCATGCTGGCTCAATGTCAGAAGTCCTGGAAACAGCACAGAAGTGCTTCACTGCTCTGAAGATACATTCTAGTGTCTCGCTGAGAGAAAACAGCTGGCCGACACGTCAGGCCACGTAGTGGTACTGATTTGGATTGTCCTTGTCTCTCTCCATATAGTCTCTGTCTATGAGGGATTCAATTCTCTTTTTCAAATCTCCAGGCTAAAAAAGAAAAATAAAACCCTCCATTATAGTGGCATTTGGTTTACAAACACAGGGAAACGTAATAGATGCACTAAGTGTGTGGTTATAATTATGGACATACATCATACACAATTTAATTATGTCTCAGGGAATCTTCATCCTTAGTAAGGACATTTCTCCCTAAGTACTGTTATTGTGTTAATATATATTTACTATTTCTGCTCTATGGAAGTAGGTGACCCCAGATCCCGAGGGCTCCAGTGCTGAATGGACAACATGGTGATAGGCTGTGCACGAAGGGTGGCTCCAGCTCTGCTGAGGTAGGAAGCGCCTTTCTATCAAAAGGCCTAACCTTCTATTCATTAATAGATCATACATTCACAAAATAGGAGACCAAGGCAGAATCGCTGCTACGGCCACTGTACACCTCCATCCACCAAGTCCTTTAACTACTGGGTCTCTCATCTGCACAGGGAAAATGAACACTCGCTCTGGCTAGAGGTAGGGTTTCAGGACCACACAGGCACTACAGAGAACACAGCAGCCCTGGCTTGCTCAGGTAAGATAGCTCTGGCCTTATCAGTGTCTGCTCACTGATCTACCTCAACCTGACTTCCTCAGTGAGGGTGGAAGGGCAGCTGGTCTTCTACCAAATCAGACAACACAGAATCAGAGAACTTCCACACCAGAGGAACATGGGCAGGCTCAGGTATTGAAAAACCAGGTCTCATGAGAGTCCCAGACTTTCCAGGGGGAATGCACATGTTTTAAAGAGCTTTTCCTAATGCTTCCCTAACTGGTCAGTCCTCCACATATGTCCAGGGCAGTAGCTCCCAGTCCTAGAAACATGCACGGAGTCAACTTTCTCGTGGACAGAAACAGGGAGAAATTATCAAAACACAAAATGCTCTGGGGCTTGCTGCTGCTGAACAAACTAACAGCTGTTAGCAGGATTTCCTCAGAATCCCACAACATAATCTGAAGAGCCTACACTACTGAGAAACACCGTCTGGAGTTCCACCACATGCCTCCCCTACCCCTGCTAAAAAGGCAACAAATACAACATCCCCTGCAGCTGGGAGTCTTAGGGAACTCTCTCATTCCTATGATGGGGACAAAGAGCATGTGGGATAAAGACCCTGCTATCACCATCACCTGCCAGTTTCTGACACTTGGTGTACACACAAAGGTATATTTGTGCAGTAAATGATTACTTGTGATGCAGGACAAATGATTCCAAAGTGTTAAAAAGTGATCATGCTCTTTCAAGGTTCAGTGTGATACTCCCAGTTAAGTTAATGTACATTTACCTTGACTGGAAACTTCAGCTGATTATACAATTCAGAAACTAGAAGATTATGACCAAGAGTCTTTCTCATCTTCATTATCCTGACAATAGCAGCGTCAATCTGATACTGTCTGTCCTGAAACACTCGTTCCGTGGTGCTGACTTGTTCCTCAACCTGTATAGGCACACAAAACAGTGAAGTTTAAAGATATATTTCAGAGATACCTGATATTGTTGAGTCTGATGAGAAACTTCTGATGTAAACTTTGGGTAAATCCCATTCTGTTATGCATTTTTTTATCCGTGCTTCCCAAGGACAGCACAACTTCAGTATCGAAACTTGAAAAATAATGTAACATTATGTTTCCCTTATAAAAAAGCTACAAAACACTATCAACTCTGTATAATCCTGAATTATATCCAGCAGCTCTGCAAAAACAAAACACAGGGCTATCAGAGTTGATTGCAAAAATGTGAGCTCTGCTCCACATCAGGAAACCTACTAATGTAACTAGTATCACAGGACTATCAAGGTGAGATGATATGATCATCCTGACAGATGCCACAAGGGCACAGTAAAACTGAAAATCTATTCTTGATCTAAAACAAACTTTAACATATAAGGAGCAATTTAAAAAAAAGAAAAACCTGAACAGGATAAAAAGCAGTTATCAGAAGCAAACAGCAAATACTGGCAACAACTTCATGCTAGTTACAGAGCAACCTAGTGGAGGTCCACAGCTCAGAGGAGATGCACGCATATGAGGTAAGCATGTTTCAGAAAGACAGAAGCCAAGCTTTCCAAAGTGATCCACGACCCCAAAAAGGTTAGTGTTCCCTGTACTTAAGACAAACACACAAAGATAAATGGTGTTAATATTTACTGGCAATGACCAGTTATACATGTTCAATGGGAAAGGTCCCCTTTACAGGGTGCCAGCATTTCTTGACCCTTTGTGCCTTCCCCAAATCCTTCATAGGCCGGACCAATGTCTATATACCTGCCTCCTCAGACCTCACCTGGCTCAGCTTTGTCTTTGCTGGAAAGCCATCCCTGACCCGTGGTTATCAGATGGGGCTCTCCTGTACTTTACCTCAAGTGTAACCAGTTCATCAGTGTGTAATCATTTAGTACCTGTCTGCTGAAAGTTGCTTGAAACAGAGACTTGTAAGAATATGTTATTGTTAATGGATGAATTCTCAGCGCTTCACAGAGGACCTGGCCCAGAGAGAGGGTGCTTAACAAGTATTTGCTAACTATCTGATAAACAAATATACAAGACTTCCCATAGAAAGCTCTTATGAAAAGAGTTACATTCATATCGACAGAAACATGGGTATGAATCAGATTTAGTATGGTAAAAATGAAAACTGAGAAGGGACACCTGGGTAGGTGGTTTAGCGGATGAGCGTCTGCCTTTGGCCCAGGGCGTGATCCCGGGATCTGGGACTGAGTCCCACATCAGGCTCCTTGCGGAGAGCCTGCTTCTCCCTCTGTGTCTCTCATGAATCAAAAAATAGAAAACTGAGAATTAGTGTAAATTAATTAAAAGAATCTGGGTGTTGGCTATGAAACAGATCAATAAAATTAAGAAACTGTCCCATAATATGTGAATTTAATATGTAACAAAGGTGATAATTCAAGCAAGTTGTCAGAGGATGGTATTTTCAATTCAGTTTTAGAAGAGGAAGTATAGTTAAGATTGCTTTTTGATATTAAAATACTTTATAAATTACACTGCTCAAAGAAAGCCTTAAATGTAAAAACTACTGTAAAGATACAAGTAATTATTTTTAAATGTTGGGGCAAAGGAAGGTTTTTCCTAGGCATGACACCCAAGTCAGAGAAACCATAAAGGAAAAGAATATATTTGAGAACTTTAAAAAACTTCCACATGTAGAAAAAAATCTGAAAACACAAAATTATCTGTCACAAATGATGGTCAATCTCTTTAACATATAAAGAACATTTACTAACGTGAGAAAGAACATGCCAATAAATGTGCCAGTGACTTGAACAAACAATCAGACAAAATACAAATGGCTCACCATAAAAGAGCCACACCAACATTTTCTAAAGTGCTTATAAGTGTTTGGCCAAGAGGTTTCACACACACACTGTTCATTTAATTCACACAAGCTGAGGTGGTATTAGGTCTATTTTAAAAAACAAAGAATTGAGAATCACAGACTACGTACTTTGGATACACTACAAAATGGCATAAAGATGCTCAAAGAAATTCAAGCTAAAATGGCAATGAACAGTTTTTGCCTGTAACAATACGCTGCGCAAAGGGCAGGTGGATGAGAGAGGGCTGATCCTTTTGTGAAACTGACACTGAAACCTGGTGAAAACCTGTCCATTTGGTAAAGGGCTGTCAAACTAACAAAAAAAAGTACACGTTCTTTGACCCTGTAACTCCCGGGCAAAGATTTTATACTAAAGAAACAATCTAGGGGTCCCTGGGTGGCGCAGCGGTTTGGCGCCTGCCTTTGGCCCAGGGCGCGATCCTGGAGACCCGGGATCGAATCCCACATCGGGCTCCCGGTGCATGGAGCCTGCTTCTCCCTCTGCCTGTGTCTCTGCCTCTCTCTCTCTCTCTCTCTGTGACTATCATGAATAAATAAAAATTAAAAAAAAAAAAAAGACAATCTAACAGGCACATGGGAATCTTGGTACCATGATGTTTAATGTAACCTTATTTCTAGTAGAGAGGGAAGCAACTTAAATGCCTTTCCACAAGGGCACTGCCAACCTCCTGCAGATTCACATGACCAACTACTCTGCACCCATTAAAACCAAGTCCTGACATGGAAAGAATCCCATCATAAAGAATAAGAACAGGTTACAAAATGGTATAAACAAATGGCATACATGGAATAATTGTGTTAAAGAAAAAAAAAGACATATTTACATCATAGGAAAAAGCTGTTGGAGTGCAAATAAAGCAGCAATAGGGATTATCTCTAGGAGAGAGAGAGGACAGTCCCGCTTTGAAATTATAACTCTAAAACTGTACATCTTTTAGTCACTCTATCAGAAATTCCTATTAAAAAGGATGCATTGAAGCATTTATGCATTTAAATCTTTAACAAGTATGTCAAATTGCCCACTAAAAGCACCTTTTAAAAAATAGAAACATAAAAAGAATGCCTGTTTTGTCACATACTTGCCAACTCTGGATATTATCAAACTTTTAAACATTACCCAAATTGATGAAAAGTGGAATATTAATTTGAGTTAAAAAAATTACTGATGAGAATTAACATCTTTTATACAGTTTACTGGTCTTTTACATTTCTTTTTGTGTCATCTAAACTTATTTTCCAACTGTGCTACACCTGAACACCTCTAGGTAAGTGAAGCCACCAGTTTCTATTGCTGGGAGTGGAGAAAACTGTGATATACCACCTCCGATCAATTAAAGCTGTCCTTGTATTGTGTGAAGTAACTTCATGCCTTCAAAAAGCCAGGGGCCAGCTGGACACCCTGTTATGGAAGTGGGGGCCAGGGGAGCCACTGTCCTTCTGGCCTGCAGGCATGACAACCCTTCTGGGGTACAAGGGCTTCCGCTTCCTATAGGAAGGGCCCGAGGGCAGTGGCCCAGAATCTGCTCCTGATACAAGACACCTGAGAATCCCATCAAAGCTACAGATACACTCCATCTACACAGACCACAGCTATGATTTCAGTGGGTCTGTGACACCCACAACCCTCAGCAGTTCCGCCCCAGACCCTGGCTGAGACCAAGGATGACATGTGCTGTGCAAAAATAAGGCAAGTGACTAGGTTCTGGATACCAAGCTCTCCACACTAACAGAATCCGGCATAGGAAGGTCTGACTACCACTCCACTTTTGTGAAGAGGGGTGCTGATGTACACACATTTGTTTCTCATGTTTGTTCCTACCGCGAATAACAAATTAATGAATGTTACTTTAAATGCTTTCAGGAGCACCCTGAAAGGACCGTAAATACTACAGGCCCCTTGGCGAGCACCCCGCAGGTAGAAAAAGGAAACCTGTACGTACAGTTTCCTTCATCTGGATCTGGTTGATCTTTATCCGAAACAACTTGTGCTTGAACTCTCCGTTGAACATGAATGTGTCTCCATCTTCCACCTCCTTCCCTTTGGGACTTTTAACCAGAACTCGTGCTTTGCCACAGGCCAGGGACTGTAATGTCCTTCGCAGCTCACTGTCCTCTGAATGGGGAGAAAACCAGGCCCCAGCCACCGTCAGAGTGAATCAGACACTCCACAGGGCAAAAGAAGCCACGCTCTCAGGTGTGACCAGCAGAGACTGAGTCTGCATCTGCTCTTGAACAAATAGGTGTTTTAGGAACAAAGACACGCAGACACCACACATCCACCCAGAGCAGAGGATGCTTACCTATCCCCGTGGCCATTTTTATTTCTTCAAAGCTGAAGCCATCCCCTTCATTGAACATGAGAAGCACCAGTGTCTGGAAAAGGGACACCTGGAACTCCTTCTTTCCCTTAAAGAAAACAGATGTATCATATATGAAGCTGTCTGCACAATCTCTGGAAAATTTTAGTTTTCTTTTTGCTCTCAAACTTTGTGGGGTGTGGGACTAGGAAATTACTAATCAGCCACCAAACAAGAAGAAAAGAAGTAATTGATTATACAAGAATAAAATGACTCAATACTGCACTTGAAAATTCTTCTCTTGAAGGATTTTTTAAAGTAGTAAAGAAGTTCTTTAGTAAATGTTATTAAATGAGTATTACCATTACTTAAACTACCCATTGCTGATACCTGTCCAGCAGCACCCCCATGTCCCATTCTTAGCTCGTCAAAGTCCTTCTAATGGTGGTGGGAATGCCGCTGGAGGGGGCAGACACAGCATGAGATGCGGTGACTGAATATGTTTGGAAGAAGCAGGCAGGAGATCTAGCAGATGCCTTTGTGAAAAGATTTGAGTGAATGTGTAAGCACTCAGGTCATCATCATGAACTTGGCCTAGCCTCCTTCTGTATGTGCCTGTGATTTACACAATACATGCAAATGGAACCTTGGGCTTCACACCATCTCCCACTCCTAGTCACAAAGTCCCCATGGCAGAGACCCAACACGCACGTAGTGGGCTCCATGTGGAGGACAGCTGCAGGGACTGGGTGAGGTTTTCACCCCACCCCCAGGACCAGCCTCAGGGAAAGAAGTGCAGCCACGCCATCTTCCTGCAGAAGGTCAGTTGTGCAGAGGCGGGTGAGGGCACGTGTAGTTTATATACATTGTGTATGTGCTTGTATGATCTATAGGATACACTGCATTAGTGCATTGTAACAGCTAGCAAAATAGAAATCTTGTAAGTTTTTAAATTAGTGTATACAACTGAATTTAATTTACAAAACTGAAGTTAAAACCAGAATATGAAGGCATTGTTTGGTGACCTGCTTCTTCCTGCCATCAGTACACTGTATATACTTCCCTCTCCTATAACATCCCTTTTAATAACAGTGCTGCAACAAATAGGCTTGTTCATTAATCTGTGAAAAACGTCTCCTTAAGAGGAATTCCCAGAACTGACACTACAGTGATGAGAGGCTGCAGGTGTGCGGCGAAAGCAGTTACCCTAAAGCTCACACGCTCTGTCTTGTGCTAGCGGGAGGCGCTGGTCCTTAAACTCTCAGCCTTGGTTGAACTGTCATCACAGATAGTGTAGGGTCTGCTACAGTTTAATCTGTACTCCGTGGACCGGCAGAGAAGTGGAACATATGTAATTGAATTTGGTTTCTTAGTCTTGCTTCCATGAGTTGCCTCTACACATCCTTTGATCTTTTTTCTTTTCTTTTCTTTTCAAAATACGGAATGCTTCACCAATTTGTGGGTCATCCTTGTGCAGAGACCATGCTAATCTCTGAACCGTTTCAATTCTAGTCTATGTGCTGCTGAAACCAGCATACCTTTGCTCTTTTCTCAGGTAAATGCTTTTCTACTTCCATTGATTTCTTATTGACTTTTATTGATTGGAATATTAATCCTTCAACTATTTAATTTTATTGACCCAGAAAAGCCAGTGCTGAGTTTTACTGAATAACCTCTTCCTTTGTTTGCTACCAAAGTTCAACCACAATGTAAAAGATTCTAGTAACATATTTATAAAAAGTAAATGAAATAGACAAACTTACTTCCTTAAACTCTGCTTTTAAAACAGCATGCCCCAATGTAGTTTGCCATTGAAGTTTCCGACCACTGTGCTTTCCGAGATAAAATGTCTTAAATACTTCCTGAAGTTTAATCATCTGCCAAACAAAGGAAGAAAACAAATGTAATTATGCTAAACACTGTTCATCTAAAGAACCACATATTGCTCAATTTACAAAGATTTAACAATTTTTCACAGCTGAATGAAAAGATCAGTTCTATATTTTGACAGTTATTTTTCTGGATTATTCTTTTTTTTTTAAGATTTTTATTTATTTATTCATGAGAGACATAGAGAGAGGCCAAGACACAGATAGAGGGAGAAGCAGGTTCCCTGTGAGGGTGTGGGGGGTGGGGGGTGGCGATGTGGGACTCAATCTTAGGACCAGAATCACGCCCTGAGCCAAAGGCAGAAGCTCAACCACTGAGCCACACAGGTGCCCCTTTCTAGATTACTCTATGACCATGAAGATGTGCACCACTCTAGCACAACAGGGTTTTCCTCTCACATGCTACCTGAAGTGATACCTAACGTACCAACAGGCTGTGGTCTGCAGTCTCCACACCTCCCATTGGGGCTCCCCTGGCCAGTGGCATATATAATGAACGTTATATATATATTCCAGAGGCCATCCCTAGGTAGAGACACTGTCTGCAGGCCCAGCTATAGCCTGACAGGTCTCGGGCTCCCTGCCTGCTCTCATGCCAGGACTCTGGTGTTGCGCCACTGGACGGGTGCTGTCAAACACTGGAAGCCTGCTGCACACCCCGTCTTCCACTCTTTGCTCGGCTCCCTGGATGTCCCCACCACTCTGCACCCAGGACAGCTGATGGTCTGTGCTGCTTCAAGCTTCAACTAGTGAGATGATCCTGACCTCTGTGTCTCTGCCCCGTGTCCACTCCTGAGCCCTCCTCAGTTTGTCTATCTACCCTGAACACAGTGGCACCCTCAGCTCACGGCCCTGTGCACTCTGCTCGTTCCCTTGTCAGTGTCCTTGGCTACTTCCAGGTTCTTAGAATAAAGAGTAAAACTCTCCCGAGGCTTGCCAAGGTCCCTTCCTTCTGAAACGCTAACTGCACTGGCCTGGCCTGTGCCTCTTCTGCCTGACCAAGGGCACCATACTGTCTTCCCTTGGGCTTCCACTTGGGAATCTGCCTCCATAACCATGCCCACTTATCTTTAAGAGCTCCTTCCTCACAGAGGTCTTCTCCAAGTGCTCTGCTCTGATAGCATTTATAGCAACTTGGGATGGTCCCTCTGGACAGAGACAAAAACATGATCCGAGCACACCCTGGAGTATCGCTCACCCTTAAAAAGGAAGAAAGTACGACATGGGCTGCAGCATCGATGGGCCTTGAATACAGGATGCCAAGTGGAAGTAGTGAGACACAAAAGGCCACAAAATGTGATTCTAATTCTGTTAATACCCAGAGCAGGCAAATCCAGAGACAGCAGGTTAGTGGATGCCCAGGTCTGGGTGGCTGGAATTGGAGGCAGGGCTCACTAAGTGCAGGGTTCTGTTTGGATGATGACAAACTTCTGAGCCAGTCAAAGGTACAGCTCAAAGTGGTAAACTGTTGGTACACTCTGCCTACCATTTATTTATTTATATGTGTATTGTAGGTATTTTTTAAAAAGACACAGTATGGTAGGTCTCACGCATCTTTTGCTAGAAAACAAAAAATTAGTAAAAATCCACAAAGGGCATATGAGGTGCCCCAGCACCCGGGTGCAGGATAGTGTGAACACTGTGGCAAGTAAGCAAGAGTCTGAGAGTTCACACAAATGCAGAGAAAGCTGCGGGGCATCACAATGAAAGTGGACTCAGGCAGGAATTCCTAGCAGGAAAGTCTGATGGGGAAAAGGTTTATGTGGTCTTGAAATATCTTCCCACAGATTACTTCTAAATTACAAAAGGAAGAATACTAACTACATTCAAGAAACCAGCTAACACCTTAACCAAGTGATGATATAGACCACCCACCACCACCACCACCACCACCACCACCACTGACAGGGGCACACGGACAGCATTAGCATGCTGAGCAAATCCATGTGGGATTCTGGTTGGACAAGCACAGCCTGAATTCAATCACAAACATCCCATGGAGAGAATTCATGAAAACTGCATGTGGCTTTGAAACACATGAGTGTTAAGAAACAGAAAGAGGGCAGTGAAGCTGTTACAGCTGACTGCAGTGTGGGGTCTGGGCTGCATCTGGACAAAATCGGAGGACTACACGTGGGATGAAATTACTATAGCAGCATCAAGCGTCTGACTCAACAACATGCCCTGGTAAGTACCTCAGAAGTATTTAGGGATAGGAAGTAGGAGACAGCCTTTCCCAAACGGCAGGAATGTTCTACCCATCCATGCAAAGAGAATGAGCACCATAGGAGGGCTGGAAACACAGGCAACAGGTTCTGAGGATGCTTTGAACTATTCTCACAAAGTCCCTGTAGTCTGAACTATCTTGAAAAAAGAAGCGAAAAAACTCGGCAGGGCCACAAGAGGCACAGCCAGGGTGGATGTGTCCGGCTTGGTGAACGCTGTGAGGTGGTAGGTGAGTGTGGGTGTTCTGGTGGAGGCTCCGCTTGGAAGTGATACATGGAGGTTCTGGAGCTACAGAGCCAGCAGGCAGCTTAGTACAGAGCCTTTGCATCTGTAAACAACAGTCGGATACGCCACAGGGTGGGGACTCAGGTACCAGCGCAATCTAGGGTGCTGTGCTCGGGACATCCGCATGCACTCAGGCCCAGGGCTCTGGGAGCATTAGTGTCCAGAGGAGAGGCGGAAGAGAAACAGATGAAGATGTGCAACATAGTATGTCAACTGTGCTTCAACAGTAAATGAAAAACAAACAAAAAGAATACAAAAGCAATCAGTGGGGTCAGAAACAAGAAAATCCTGAAAGACATGGTCTTGGACATGGAACAAAAAGCCCCAACAGGGCTGTTTCCCACCCGGGCTCCCAATTCCTGCAACTCCACACTGTTCTGGGCCCTTTGCAGGAGACCCTCAGCCCTGCATTTCTATTTCCCGGTCCCACACCAGAAGCAGCCCTCTTCCACGTCACCTAGTATTAGATTGAATGGTGAAGAGATTTTAAGTTCCCAAGCCTAGGATCCTCCCTCCTGTCTGTAAATCCTCAGCATGCCTAAAGCTGTGGCTGACCTACAAAGCCCTGAGCAGGGGCGGCCACGAGCCCACACCAGGATGGAATGACAACTGCCAAGTAGTGCCATACCAGTGCCGTTATCTTCTTGATGGTCAGCCAGGGAACTCGGGGGGTGAGAAGGAGCCAGACGGGGACACAGACATTCACTGAGCAACAATGCCTTCCAGAGACCACAAGGACACTGATCTTTGTGTGATTTGAAAACCCTCTCATGGGATGCCTGGGTGGCTCAGCGGTTTAGCACCTGCCTTCAGCCCAGGGCGTGATCCTGGAGTCCCGGGATCGAGTCCCACATTGGGCTCCCTGTGTGGAACCTGCTTCTCCCTCTGCCTGTGTCTCTGCCTCTCTCTCTCTCTGTCTCTCATGAATAAATAAATGAAATCTTAAAAAAAAGAAAAGAAAAACTCATTAAATATTTTGTGACAGATAATATGTCTGTGCACGTGTGTGTTTAAGAAGTCTACAGTGCTTTGGCAGCACCAATATACAAAACAAAAGGACAACGTTCTCTGAGACACTTACTTCCGGGGTTAAATGCACTTCCATTGGTGTGTAGGTTGGCCAGTATCCCATCGTAAGTATATTCACTGTGAGATCTATAGAGCCTGGGTCACTTTGATTCTGCATATACTAAAAACAAAAAAGATCAAGATTAACTATTGTAGAATATCATCAAAAATAGCAAGTTCATTAGAAAGGTAAATGGTGTAATTTTCACACAGCACAGTATTATATTTACTTAAATCAAATTTTGTTATGTTATTTTAGGGATTTTCTTTTTCCTTTGGAATTTAAGTCATTCAAATATGTGAGACATGAGTAGTGTCATTTTTAAGGCTGAGGGCTTTACATGATTTACATTATCACCCCACATGACTTAAAATGGGATAGAGTTTATATACAGCTGTTTTACTTTGGGAAAAAAAAAAAAAACAGCTTGCCTGCTTGAACTGGACCATGATGTCCTTGGAGAGTTCCATGTCCTTGAACATGCCTTCCAGCTTGCTGGTGAAAGCGGCGCCGCATTCTGGGACATAAGTGGGGAGCATCAACACCACCAGGGACAACGCCCAGCACAGAGGAAGGACAGACCCCGGGTCCCACATGCTTACCATGCTTTAGTTTTGACAACATAGATTTTTCAGCATCAACTGAGGCGCTTTTTCCAACAAGGAGTCTTTTTGCCAAATCTTTTTTATAAAACGCTTCAAAGACATCTTTCCCTATTTATAACCAAATGAGAACGACAGAAGACATCAGTTAATCTGCAAATATTCACTGTGGAAACTCTAAGTGTTTATTCTGCTGCAAGCAGATCTAACTTGGAAGACAGTGACATTTCCACAAAATAATACTTGCAATTGGTGGGCGGCCATCCCTCTATTTCCTGTGTTAACATGGAAGTGGAAATGTCTCCATTTTTCTCAAGAAAAGACAGGGCCCCAGTACAGATGGACTAGGTAACCTTTTCTCCATGCTCAATGTTAACAGAAATAGCGTAGAGCATGTCTCACCGTGAATGAACCTGAATATTATCATGACCTTGTCAAGAATCCTTTCCAGCTCTTCGTCTGTTGCTTCTTTATTACCCGCTCTCAATTTTGAATCAACATGCTTTGCTGTGAGATTAAAAGTGTAAGTTATTTGAAGGGTATTTGTTATATAATACATTTTCTAAAAAAAAAAAAAAAGAATATCTTTAATTTTTATAAGCAAAAAAGCAGAGACAGCAACACTCTGGAACCTTCCCAAAATGACATTATTATATGATAAAAGGCAGATAATCTGATTTTCTAAGTGAAGGGTTTTCAAGTCACGTTGAGAATACTTTAATTACGCGCTTGGGTTTCACAACACACCGTTGCTCCAGAGATTGGAACGCCCCCTCTCTGAGATGCGGCACCCCTGAACACAGGGATGTTCAGGGGGTTCTTACTGCTGAGACCACATAGATCAACCATGGCTTCCAGAAACTCAAGCCCCAAGAGTTAAATATCCATCTTTGGAGAAACCACAATCATAAAGTGGCACAAAGGCCAAACTACACTGCCTTGTGAATTTTTTGTTGTTTTTTTAATTAAAAGATTTTATTTTTTAAAGTAATTTCTACATTCAAGGTGGGGCTCGAACCCACAACCCTGAGATGAAGAGTTGCAGGCTCCACTGCCTGAGCCAGCCAGGGGCCCCGCTTCTTGCTACTTTTATTAGTTTTTCCTTCACAATATTTTTATTATGAAATACTCTTAACATACACCAAAGTAGGAAAATGTATAAGGAACCTCACGTTCCCATCACATATCCTCAACAGTAATCAATAAGCCCAAGCCCTACTTCTTTCTTTGCTCTTTGCCTAAAAACTTCAACTAGTGAGAGGCTGTGAATCCTGAAATATGTTTTGGTATTAGGATGACATAATTGGGGAGGAGGGGCAAGATGGCGGAAGAGCAGGGTCCCCAAATCACCTGTCCCCACCAAATTACCTAGATAACCTTCAAACCATCCTGAAAATCTACGAATTCGACCTGAGATGTAAAGAGAGACCAGCTGGAATGCTACAGTGAGAAGAGTTCGCGCTTCTATCAAGGTAGGGGGGGGGAGAAATAAAGGAACAAAAGGCCTCCGAGGGGGAGGGGCCCCGCGAGGAGCCGGGCTGAGGCCGGGCGCGTGTCCCCAGGACGGGAGAGCCCCGTCCCGGAGGAGCAGGAGCTGCACCAACCTTCCCGGGCGGAAAGGGGCTCGCAGGGAGTTAGAGCAGGACCCAGGAGGGCGGGGATGCCCTCGGGCTCCCGGGGACACTAACAGACACCTGCGAGCGCAGGAGAGTGCGCCGAGCTCCCTAAGGGCTGCAGCACGCACGGGAGCAGCTCAGAGGGGCTCGGGAGCGGCTCCAGGGAGGGAGCTGCAGGGCGGGAGCGCGAATCCAAAAGCGCAGGCCCCGGAGCACAGGGCGCCTCCCCCGGGACAGGCAGAGGCCGGGAGGGCCCAGGACAGCGAGGACGCTCCTGCCCTGAGCTGAGCAGATCAGCGGCCCCGCCCCGGAGCCTCCAGGCCCTGCGGACGGAGAGCCGAGAGCCCTGAGAGCCCTGAGCCCCGTAGTTCCTGCGGAGGCCGAATCCAGGCTTCCAGAATTGCCATAGGAACTGCGGCTGTTCCTCCTGGGGCCTGACGGGGTAAACAACCCCCACTGAGCCCCGCAGCAGGCAGGGGCAGAGCAGCTCCCCCAAGTGCTAACACCTGAAAATCAGCACAACAGGCCCCTCCCCCAGAAGACCAGCTGGACGGACCAGTGATACTCCCCCGTGTTCCAATACAACTTGTTTTTGGCCACTCTGCACTGAGCAAAATGACTAGAAGGAAAACTTCACCTCAAAAGAAAGAATCAGAAACAGTCCTCTCTCCCACAGAGTTACAAAATCTGGATTACACTTCAATGTCAGAAAGCCAATTCAGAAGCACTATTCTACAGCTACTGGTGGCTCCAGAAAAAAGCATTAAGGCCTCACGAGACTTCATGACTGCAGAATTTAGATCCAATCAGGTAGAAATTAAAAATCAATTGAATGAGATGCAATCCAAACTAGAAGTCCTAACGACGAGGGTTAACGAGGTGGAAGAACGAGTGAGTGACATAGAAGACAAGTTAATGGCAAAGAGGGAAACTGAGGAAAAAAGAGATAAACAATTAAAGAACCATGAAGACAGATTAAGGGAAATAAATGACACTCTAAGGAAGAAAAACCTACGTTTAATTGGGGTTCCCGAGGGCGCCGAAAGGGACAGAGGGCCAGAATAAGTATTTGAACAAATCCTAGCTGAAAACTTTCCCAATCTGGGAAGGGAAACAGGCATTCAGATCCAGGAAATAGAGAGATCCCCCCCTAAAATCAATAAAAACCGTTCAACACCTCGACATCTAATAGTGAAGCTTGCAAATTCCAAAGATAAAGAGAAGATCCTTAAAGCAGCAAGAGACAAGAAGTCCCTGACTTTCATGGGGAGGAATATTAGGGTAACAGCAGACCTCTCCACAGAGACGTGGCAGGCCAGAAAGGGCTGGCAGGATATATTCAGGGTCCTAAATGAGAAGAACATGCAACCAAGAATACTTTATCCAGCAAGGCTCTCATTCAAAATGGAAGGAGAGATAAAGAGCTTCCAAGACAGGCAGGAACTGAAAGAATATGTGACCTCCAAACCAGCTCTGCAAGAAATTTTAAGGGGGACTCTTAAAACTCCCCTTTAAGAAGAAGTTCAGTGGAACAATCCACAAAAACAAGGACTAAATAGATATCATGATGACACTAAACTCATATCTGTCAATAGTAACTCTGAACGTGAACGGGCTTAATGACCCAATCAAAAGGCGCAGGGTTTCAGACTGGATAAAAAAAGCAGGACCCATCTATTTGCTGTCTACAAGAGACTCATTTTAGACAGAAGGACACCTACAACCTGAAAATAAAAGGTTGGAGAACCATTTACCATTCAAATGGTTCTCAAAATATACCCTAAAAACTATAGAACACTTCTGAAAGAAATTGAGGAAGACACAAAGAGATGGAAAAATATTCCATGCTCATGGATTGGCAGAATTAATATTGTGAAAATGTCAATGTTACCCAGGGCAATTTACACGTTTAATGCAATCCCTATCAAAATACCATGGACTTTCTTCAGAGACTTAGAACAAATTATTTTAAGATTTGTGTGGAATCAGAAAAGACCCCAAACAGCCAGGGGAATTTTTAAAAAAGAAAACCATATCTGGGGGCATCACAATGCCAGATTTCACGTTGTACTACAAAGCTGTGGTCATCAAGACAGTGTGGTACTGGCACAAAAACAGACACATAGATCAATGGAACAGAACAGAGAACCCAGAAGTGGACCCTGAACTTTATGGTCAACTAATATACGATAAAGGACGAAAGACGATCCACTGGAAGAAAGACAGTCTCTTCAATAAATGGTGCTGGGAAAATTGGACATCCACATGCAGAAGAATGAAACTGGACCACTCTCTTGCACCATACACAAAGATAAACTCAAAATAGATGAAAGATCTAAATGTGAGACAAGATTCCATCAAAATCCCAGAGGAGAACTCAGGCAACACCCTTTTTGAACTTGGCCACAGTAACCGGAGAAGGACAAACAGTGTATGTTCTCATTCATTTGGGGAATATGAATAATAGTGAAAGGGAATATAAGGGAAGGGAGAAGAAATGTGTGAGAAATATCAGAAAGGGAGACAGAACATAAAGACTTCTAACTCTGGGAAATGAACTAGGGGTGGTGGAGGGGGAGGAGGGCGGGGGGTGGGGGTGAATGGGTGACGGGCACTGAGGGGGACACTTGACGGGATGAGCACTGGGTGTTATTCTGTATGTTCGTAAACTGAACACCAATAAAAATTAATTTATAAAAAAAAAAGGATGACATAATTGTATACAATGGTAATTTAAAAACTGTTTTATCTTAAACCATGTTATCTTCTTAGGACTTTATCCAATTTTATCCTACTTTAGTCCTGATGAGAGGATGCAAAGGTAAATACACTCTAGAGATTATCAAGTCATCCTCATAACACAGAGATATTCGTATAGAACAAATCCTCTTCATCCAGTTTCTGAGCACAAATTACTCACTGTCATCAAGAAAGAAACAGGGTTCATTTTACCAAATACAGTTCTGGAGTTACTAGTATAGCAAATGCATATGAAAATAAAATTTTTGTCTTCCTTACCTCAAGCTTCAAGTATAGCAAATTTTTGTCTTCCTTGACCTCAAGCTTCAAGTATAGCAAATGCATATGAAAATAAAATTTTGTCTTCCTTGACCTCAAGCTTCATCTTTACAAAACTGTTACTACTATGTTCACCCTTCCTATAGAAGTACCACGTGCTTATATGTATATGTAATATATACGCGTTTTTAAAAAAATGTGTCCTTATGAGATATAACACAAATCCTTCCCCATCCTCCCCAAGAGGAGTTTAAATATTCTGGGGAAAAAAATTTATTTGAGTTGTCTTATTTTCCCATATTAAACTTATGTATGGAAGTATGTTTTTCTACCTATCAGTTCTGCGGGTTTATTTGGCCTCTTGTTGATAAACGTTTCAAAGGATTCCTTCATCAAGTTGATGAACTTCTCGTTCCTCTGGAAGCACACTTCTATCACATGGTCCACCCGATCTTTAAAATCCAGCAGATCTTGTACCATATCTTTGTCTTTTTCAGGATTGATAACAATTGTTGTCCCAAAAGTCTACAAGAACACACACACACACCAATTCATCAACAGGCAATGGTATCACACATTTTCATCCTGTTATCAAACAACCATAATGCTTTAATTTAAATTAATTACTGTTGGTGTTAAATACTAAATAATTTCAAAAGTTTCACAGACTCAGCCCACATTCAAAATATTATGTGAATATACACAATTAATGCTTCAGTGTTACAATTCTGCTTCTGAAAGAATTTATAAATTAGTGTTTATTATTAAAAAAAAACCTTTATCCTATGAATTCCTCAAACACAAGTTCCCATGAACCTAACACAACCACTTGGACTTCTTGACTATAGTATTTTTACTCCCCCACTGCTAACCAAGAATAATAGCTCAGCTGTTAGCCTTTATTTTTAATTCAAAAATGCGATATTCAACATCACCAAAAGTCTGTATGTGACAGTAATAGCTGCTTCAGGATATACACTACCAGATGATATAAACTGTGCTAGGTTACAATTACTACTATTTAATGTGTTTCAAAAGGGAGAGACGCAGGTTGCAAATGCAGGCACTGTGCTCAGCCCCAGGCCAGCAGACAGGGATTTATTGCTGCCCGAAGTGCAGTCTCAGACACTCTGAGGATGGAGTCCTAGAGCAGTCCATCACTGGGCTTGCCAGCACAAGTGAGGTGCTCTACCACACAGATCCCTGCTGTCCTCTAAGGAAGGTGACCTTGCCATAGCCAACTGTTCTTCACTAGAATACCTTCCTTGTTCTGCCCCCGCCTGCCTAGAAGTCTTCTGTATCATCCTGCTCTCCAAGGCTCCTTTCTATCTGTATGCAGTATTCATGAGTCCCTAAATAAAGCCAGTAAGATCTTCAAAATATCCTCAAATTTTGTCTTTTATCAGAAATAATATACATATTTTTGGAAAACTGGTTTCCATAGCATATACACACATATTCATGTGTAATATGTGTAAGTGGAGGCAGATTACTGGTGAAGAGGTACAAATGAAACTGGCACAGAGACCTTCTGGAGAGGGACACCGTGTGACCAGCAGGGCTGGGACTTTCTACTCTGTGCCCTTCTGCACCAACAGCATTTAAAAAAAACACACACGCACGCTGCCAAGGTTCAGCTTTCCTGTGATAATCCCACACTGTGTGTTCCTGTCATGGTGTGACAGCTGATCCTTGGTGGACACTGAGGAATGGTGGTCACCTCACTCATTTTGATGACCCAGATTGAACTGTGCGAAGGTAAGAACCTCCTGTGCTTGGCACATGTCCCTGCTCCCCAAGGGCTCCTCATCAACAACACCCTCGTCCTCCATTAGACTTTCCATAATACCCAGGTCTTCGGCTGATCTGACATAAGTTGGTTATGAATTTTGTCTCCAAAGTCTCCAAGGGTGTGGTACCCCTGTGCATGAGCTTTCCACGTGTAGATAATGAAGTTTTAGGACCGACTATACCATAAAGCCACATGCAAGCTTCCCATTATCCCTATTTAACTGATTTGTTTCTTGTGATAATTATAGACTCACATGCAGTATAAAGAGTTAAAAAGATCCCTTACACACTTTGCCCAGCTCCCCATGATGCTAACATTTGGCAAAATGATAGAGCAGCATCACAGTTGAGGTACGGGCACAGGTACTCTGCACCCATCTTCTCCAGGCTGCCCTAGTTTTATCTGTCTCCCGTGTGTGTACTGTTCTCTGGACTTGTTGCCGGGGCAGCCTTGTGCACCCATCATTGTGATCAGGCACAAGAGCCATCCTGCTGCCTTCCCATAACCACATGCTAACGTGCCACAGAAACATCACAGTATTGTGAAAGTGACAGTCCTGGGTGGCCAGGAAATAAAGCGGCACACACACCAAATGTGTTAACATTCTCATGAGCAAAGGCATGGGATGTTTAAAAAGCAGATTCACAGAAAGGGTGACTCTCTGAAAATTGTGGTTGTAACTGGAATGGAGCCTAGGCAGACAACGAATAGAAGACCTTCACTGCACCTGGTTGTAGGTGCTGCTCATAATCTTGGTGTCATCTTAAAAAAAAAAAAAAAAGGTTTGTACCAGTGATCTGGAAAGAAATAAATGCAAGACCGCTATACACCCAAGCACCTGCCAGGAGAGAAATATGGTGTCTCCAGATTGCCCAGGTCCTCTGCCAGATGCCACATACCATGGGGGTAGGACACCTGCCCTACCCGAGGTATAGTTGTTACCCCATTGAGACGGCCCCACACACCTTAATGTACTCGCTCCAGTGCTGCAGCAGGATCTGCTGCCCACCCTTCACACGGCTGAATAGCTGGTACATCTGAGTGAGGTCGGGCACTCTGTTCTCATCAAGCAGGTGGTCAAGCCCTGAGATCACACAGCAAACGTGAGCACATCCCATCAGCAAGTCAGCATTAGAAGTAAATCTTATTTTTAGGGGGATCCCTGGGTGGCACAGTGGTTTAGCGCCTACTTTAGGCCCAGGACGTGATCCTGGAGTCCCGGGATCGAGTCCCACATCGGGCTCCCTGCATGGAGCCTGATTCTCCCTCTGCCTGTGTCTCTGCCTCTCTCTCTCTGTCTCTCTCGTGAATAAGTAAATAAAATGAAAAAAAAAACAAAACAAAACAAAACAAAAAACTTATTTCTACGCAGGCACGTTAATCTCTGGAATCCGAGACAGACCCTGTCAGGCAGGGCTCATTTTCTGAGCAGGCGGGCGGGTATGTTCCTTAATTCCTCAGGTCACGGAAGCCCTGGTCTCACTAATTCAGGGGCTTGAGCAGCACTCCCTGATGGGATCCGGCACCTCACTGCCCCTTCGTACCTCTGATCTAGTTTATCACTCAGAAAGCAGATCTGTCAAAGGGGGAGTTACCAAGTCTCATCTTTCAGCTGATTATTTTTCTAATAATCTATAATTTATAATTCTGGGCCTTTCTATGACTAAGCTTAAGGTCTCCATATCTTGAAACAGATCTTGTAGCTCCAACATGACTTTTAAATGGTAACTTTAAATACACCAACTACAAATGTTCTATAAGGTGAGACTATGCTCACTCTGCTTTCCGGGGTACTAAGCACACAGTTGAGGGGCAGAAATGAATAAGAGGAGCAGACTGTGTGAACCTCCTTCACAGCCACACAGCAGCAGGCACACAGTGGCAGCTACAGTCACTCCTCCCCAGGCTGCTCTTCCAGAGCCCCACGAGAGACAGGGTGTGGGAGAGAAGCCTGCCCAGTTAGCAAGGCCATGTGTTTGCTCTCCTAGCTGCTGGTTCTTCCAGAAGACACAGGATGGAAAAGTGTATCCTGGCCTAAGTCCCCAGCCTCTTGGCAGTTCAACTGGCATCCGGCTGCATGGAGGCCCTGGGAAGATGCCTGGTGACAATCTAAGGGCCTGTCCAACAGCCTATGCCCATGAGCACAAACCCAGTGAAGGAGAATGAGCGCCCGGCAAGGACCCAGCCGCAAGCTGTGTGTGGTTGGGAGGGTCTCTGGCAGCTTCGAGTGAGACTGCATTCCATGGGATTTCTATAAGAGGTGGTTCATGATTTCTCTGAACTCACTTTTCCTGAGGGCTAACGTGTTCCTCTTTCTTTCTTTTCTTTTTTTTTCCTTCCTTCTCTTCTTTCTCTCTTTCTTTTTCTTTCTTTCTTTCTTCCCTCCCTCCCTCCTTTCTTTTCTTTCAGATTTATTTATTTATGAGAGACAGAAAGAGGGAGGGAGGGAGGGAGGGGCAGAGACACAGGGAGAGGGAGAAGCAGGCTCCTCGCAGGGAGCCCAATGTGGGACTCGATCCCGGGTCTCCAGGATCAGGCCCTGGGCTGAAGGTGGCGCTGAGCCACCTGGACTGCCCTCCTTATTCTTAATGATTTTTGGTGATCGTCATGTTACAATAACAAATGTCCTCTATGTCATTATGCACATCATCTCATTTGCTTTCTTAATATATTAAAAACCATCATTTGGTCTAACTTTTCACAAGTCAAGGAAACCTACCTTTGTGAAGAATTGCTGTTAAATGTTCTCCTAATAGCTGCTTCTCCACACAAGCAATCAGTGGTTTCCTACATGAGGCAAAAGACCAAGTGTCAGAAATTAAGGGAGAGACTTTGGTCAGCTGTAAAGAAGCGGAGTTTATGGTCTACAGACATGATGTGGAGTCATTCAGACACCAATGGCTCCAAGCACCACAACAGGCATTTCTCTCCAGCCATGAACAATCACCCACTGTCTGTGCAAACTCCGTAGTCATTACGGAATCACATAAAGAGACCAGTGGGTCCAGGGAAAAGGAGATGCCGGCACCAGGACAAGCGCCCTGCACCCCCAGCTTGGCTGGCAGTTTTCAAAACGAGACTTTGCCTTTGAAATGGGAGGCCTGTAAAGTTCCCCATCTTCCATGGCACAGCCGTGGAAGCACTACTCCAGGCCCATGAGCCTCTACTTGGCCAGGCCTGTCGCTCTGTCCTCACATCTTTCTGCCTATCCCCTCCCACTACTGTTTATCAAAAATCCTACTTATCAAAGCTCCTATGTGAGGCCTACGTTGCACAAACGTCACACAGAACAGAGTATTTGAAAATCTGCAACTTCATTAGGTATTGCTGCCATACTCACGGGGATACTCGAAACTACTCTTCCTGGGTGAATCATCCTCAGTTATTTCCTTTTAGTTGTTTTTCAAAGATCAGACCACGTGCTTCAGTGAAAGTATTATTAACTTTGGCACGAAGCTTCATGCCCGAAGCTCATCACGAGCCTCTGCTTCATGAAGAACTTTCCAACATATTATCTTAATCTTATTTCAGCCTCACAGCAACTCTAGAGAGAGGCATGGCACATGTTCTGTTTCCGACTGCCCACCCTACCTGAGACCAGAAGCCAGAGACTGTGCTACTGAAGAGAAGAGTGAGGGGTGAGGAGCAGGTCAGCACCTTCCCAGTGTGCCACTGGTAGAGGGGGGGGACAATGACAAGGAGTGAGGAGCAGGGCCATGGGAGGTGGGGGGTCAAAGGTCAGAGGCTGGCAGCAGGGAGGGCCAGCCATGCATCTGCTCTTCCCCTGAACAGCTTCATCAACACATAGTCAGCTGGCAATGGGTGGTTTCTACTCGCTGTCATGGATAGCGTTGCTATGAATATTTGCATACAAGTTTTATGTGAACGTATGTTTTTTTGTCTATATATTTATTAGTAGAACCAGTGCATTGGATAAATCTGCTAACTCTGTGGAGTACTCTGAGGAGCTTCCAAACTGCTGTCCCCCACAGCTGCCCATTTCACATCCATATTGGCAATGCACAAGGGTTCCAATTTCTCCATATCCTCACCAAGGCTTTGTACTGCTTGTCTTTTTAAAGCAAAAAGCCATTCTGGTGGGTGTGAAGTGGAACTGCACTGTGGTCAACTGGCATTTTCCTGATGACTGACTATGCTGAGCAACTTGTCCTATGTTCACAGAATCTCTGCTTCTAGCCAGTGTGTGACCTAGACTTTGGTTCTGCAGAGAGAGAAACCCAATCACGGTTTTCATTCCAACAGTCTATGTAATGCCTAGATGCTCTGACAGGTCCTGAGCTAAGGGCAGATACTACAGACTCCTTGCACCCAGAGGTACAGTCCTGGGTGCCCAAAGACTGACCTCCTAATCCACAGTGACAACTCAATGATTTTGCCATGTGAGAATTCCTGCCAACCAACAGGAGAGTGGGTCCTTCCCACAGTGAGGGGCAAGAATCCTGGGGTACAGAGAACCCACCCCCAGGGCAGGGCCTGACAAGTGACCTGACTGTGGTGACCAGTGTGGTGGGTCACAAGGTACAGCACGAAGCAATGCCCTGCTGCTTTCAAGTACGTTTCCCTGTAGCCTGCCATCCACTGTGCTCTGAGGTGGGGCTGGGAGGGGCACTCCGAGCCCAGCTCTAAAGCTGGTATGGCTTGTTTATCTTCAGTCTCCCTTTTCCTTGACAGCGACTTATTATTTATTTTGAACCGCCCAGCATGGCAGAAGCCACCTTGTCAGTCTCCTTCTACCCATCCATGCTTGAGCCTGGAGGTGAATCACCTTCACCTACTACTCCTTTGCTTAAAAATTTACATTTACTCTCCTTAGCAACAGATTTTTAAATTTAGGGGGAGGAGTTTAAAACAGCATACATACAAGAGTGTGTACATACAAAAAAAGAAATGACCACTGAGCCCACTGCCCACGGGTCATAAAGGAAGAGTGCCCTGGCAGCCCCCAGTACCCGCCCTTCCTCATCCTGAATCTGTACTAGCAGGTCCCTTGCTCTTCTTCTACAGGATTTACCATTTACAGATCTCTCCCATCAGTACACTAGCCGGCTTGTTCCTGAACTTCGTGCTATATGGAAAATGTCATTAATAGGAAAAAAAAAATTGCAGACACTCAACGAAGACTTTTATCCATCCTTGACTTGACCTACTACACAATCTGATGCCACCTGTCATCTTCTCTCCCACTCCCTGTCCCCCCAGCTGCCAGCCTGCGGACCCTGGGGCTTCTCATGCTCCCTGGCTGCAGGTTTGCACGCCCACAGCACCCCACTCAGGCTGTCCTGGTGTCAGTACAACTGTCATTCTCGGACCATCCTGGGCTCCCCAAGGACCTCCCCCCCCACCCCAGTAACTAAATCCATCTTTCCTCTCATGACCTGCATTCTCAAAGTGCCGTGACTCTGCCCCTTTCATCCCGTAAGTTTTGCACATTTCATCCTTCCGTCTGTTCTTACCCCTCCTCATTTGAACAAATGTTACGTGCACAGTGAGAAATAGACAGTCCTACAATTTTCCCTTTTTACTTTTCCCCAGCTACTCTTCCTCCTCAGGCTTAGAGAAAAAAAAAAAAACTGGATGAAAAGAGAAAATAACATGACTTAGTACCACAGATAAAAACTACAGCTATCTTAGATGTCTAACGAAAAGTTAACGATCCAATTTCCCAATATTCAATGATACCCCATCGATGTGAATAGAATCCCTGTCTCTAAAGCCAAAGATACCGAGCATCTCAGCCTGAAGCACTGCTCTTGGGCGGTACCTCACGACAGAGCATTGTTCTAACTCACAAGTGCTAAATGATCACAAATAACATAAGTAAAATGTGCTAACAACACAAATACTCTCAGATGGTAGTGAATGAGTCTACAAAGATACCATCTACTTCAATCATCAGCCCTTTGGTTCATTATGGTCAAATTGTAATAACTAAGTAAATATATAGTACTCACTGTGTGCTGTGGTCTAAATACGTGATTACTCGGTCTCCTTCTTCCTCTAAACGCTTACTTACATGGTTAAGATATTCTGGAACCTTCCAAACACAACATTTAAGCATGTCAGTAACAAAGATCCTTTTGTTTTTTTTTTTAAAGTAACAAAGATTCTTGATGTTACTCAAGAAGCTGAAACATTATTGTCCTTATAAAAATTTAAAAAAGGAAAGCAAAGTATACACTTAAGCCAAGTATTAAGACAGATTAATGGGGGAAAGGTAACTGGGAAGTGTTTTGGGGGAGAGGCAGGATAAGTAGAAGCAGCTTTCCTTAAACTCAATTCTGGAGATCAAACTGACCTCTAGAACGAGGGATAGGGCAGCACTGGACTAGTGTGCCCTGCTCACAGGGAAGCTCTAGGGACAGCGCCATGGGTCCCTCCCATCACCGAGGCCCTAGGAGAACCTGGGTTAGAGGGTGCAGGCCTAACAGCATCCCCTGGCCCACAATGAGCAGAGGCAGCAAACACTAATTGTAGGACTGCAATGTTCACTTCAGGACACCCAACAGCACAGATGCAGATCTCAAAATGCACTGTTTCCAGGGGCAAAGGGCCGCCCTTCCTGTGCTGTCCCGACACAGGAAAGGCCCCAGGACATGGGTCTTCGGCCTTCTGACCTAGTGGTGGAGCAGAGCTGGGTACTCCCTCTCTAAAACCAGGATGGCAGAAGCAACAGTTGGTCCATCCTGTACAATGATGGGAGTGCCTGGGGGAGAAAGGGTGCGAGGAACAAGATTTTGGGTTCATCTTACTATTTCATGTTTTTTTTTTCACGTAGTTTCCTGGATAGTTTTCAATGCCTCACACAGATGGAAGGTTTGGGGTGTGTCTGTCTTCCCTATCTGAGATTTACCTTCTATCCTCTTGTTTCAACTTGAGCTACTTTACACATTTTAGAAGCTACCTTATTGGCTTTTTTTTTTTTTTTTTTTTTTTACTGGGGGGCAAGGGGTGGGGGAGAACAACACACAGAAATAAAATTTTCTAAAAAAAAGAAATTAAATCTTGACTGTAGTAAGAATGAAGTTTGTCATTAAGAATTTCAGCTAGATTGTGGCTTTCAGAAAATTTCTAATAAAATGTTTACATGGAAAGACAGATTTTTAGAAATTACACTTAAATGCACACCTATTAAGAAATAAAGTGATTCAGAAGTACTTCCTTGTCTCACCTCTCTTTCTTGCATTAATCTCTGGCCTTCTGCAGCATATAAACAATTAGTTTCTTCCAAAAATTTCAGTTCAAATGAATCTTTATATACCTAAAAAATGAACAAAGTTATTGATCAGTTATTGTACAAAAATAGGCCTAAAAATGTGCTGTTACATCAATGATTTCCAGGGATCCCAGCTGCAGTGACCTGCCCGGACACACAGCCTGGACACGCCCCTCCTCCAGAGGCCAGGGCAGGAAACCTGATGCTTTCCTGTGGGTGCTGCAGGCCCTCATCCCCTCCCAGGAGCTCCGGGTCTATGTCTTAAGAGCTCTTTCCTTTGTGGCTCCTAATGTAGCACTAGCTGGAAAGTCATTCCCCCTGCACGTATTCAACATTTTTTGAGGTCATATTTTGCATTTAAGTCTTTCATACATCCATTTATTTTGGTGTAAGTAATTAAGCAAGGATCCAAGTTCTTTCTTCTTATGGACTACTAGGAATTACTGATAACGTTTAGGGCAGGAGGCATTACCTGAAGGTCGGACAGCATACTCAGCAGACTTCTCAATAAACTACGATCCACTGCTTCACCATTTCTTTCTCGTTCAATTAATAGCAGAATTCCGTCAATGCTTTTGCTTTGAACCATTTTATCACTAATGATATGGTTTCTAAAAAGTTCCAATCCCATATCCCTGTACAAACAGTAAAAACAAAACTATATTTTAGTATTACTTTTTAGAAGTTCTAGCTAAAGCTACAAGTTACACTGTTGACTCATCCCAAAACCATTGATCTGCTAACTCTCTAAACCTATGTGTCAAGTATTCCTTTGTTGTGTTTTCCATTTTTGGCCAATCTGCCGTGCTCGGTGCTTCCTGGGGTGGGTCAGGCATGCCACCAAGAAGCACATCCGTCTTGCAGATGCTGGGGTTCACACCCTTCTTCCAGAGGTGGGACTTAGGCATCTCTACCCACCTAGCCCCCAGTCCTTTCCTTTTCTATCTCTGGTCCCTACCCCGGCACCTGGTCCTCTCCTCTATGTGGTCCTTTCCACTGGTGAACGGAATATGAAATATGACTTGAGGAGTCCTTCATCCTCCCTTGGCTTATTGCCTGAAGAGTTCCAGAGGACATACAGCTGTTGATTAATGTGCACAGAAACCATGGGGTAATAGGTACGTGCTCTGTTCAAATGCCTCCACAAGTCTCTTAGGACCAAAAACTGAGTAGGCAGACAAAACTCAGCTGCCCAAGCATCTCTTGTGGCAAGCAGTATGTAGGTGAGCATGGGTTCTGGGAACCCTGTCTGTGATGAACCCTGCCCTCCTACAACATATACCACAGTAGGCCTTTCCTATTCCCTGTAGGAGCTGCAGGCCTGGGCATTCTGCACACTCCAATGACACATCAGCCAAATGCATGGGCCAGCCACGCAGGCTCAGGCCGGCTGCCTGGATCTGAATTCTGCCCACACCCTTTGGTTGAAGTGCCTCTGAGTTCCTGCCCATGCTTCCTTAATTGTAAATGGCAGGACACATGCCATCTTACACCTGTAAAGCCCTTCCACACCAGGCCAGGCAGGTAGCCCATGTGGTGTGCATGAAGCGTTCACTGTCCACTCCAATCCACCTGCTATACTGTTGCTAGACTCTTCTTTCTAAAATCTAAATCTCACCGCTCCCCACCACTGGCCATCAGGATGTCCCTCGGGCTCGTGTCCCTGCCCTCCCCCACAAACAGCTCACCCTGGGCAGCTCCCATTTCCACACAAGCAGTACTTTGAATGTACTACTTCCTTTTCTCTACTACCACCTCTTTCTACCTCAGCATTCCTGCTCATTCAGTGAAGTGCAGGCCTGGGCTATGGCTGACTCCCACCCTGTGCTGCCTGGGGTGTTCCTCACACACTAGTGCTGAGTCTCATCGGGCTGCACCATCCTGCTCCTCTTTTCTGCCTGAGGCCAGTATTGTCTACGCTCTAAGTGGTGTTTATGGTTTCTATGACAGGTTACGTTAGGAGCTCTGTTTATGAACTGTTCAGACTGGGCAGCCCAACAACCTGTGAACAGCAAATTATGGAACTCTGCCTCAGTTTCTCCATCTGTAAAACGGAGAAAACGGTCATCCCCTCTAGAGCTGTACTGCAGACTCAGTAAACCGGTAAGTGCTAAACCTCCTAGAATGGTGCCAGCCACAGACTAGCAGCCCTGCAATTCACTGTTGTCCCCAGTTACAGCATGCTTATCGTATCTTTGAACAAAGGCCACCCTCTGTGCCAGGCCAGCTGGCTGCAGGTGCATGTGTGCATCTAGCACAACACATACAGGAGTAGAGTCCAGAGAGCAAGGAGGAGCAGGGGGGATGTGCTACTAAGGAAGGGGAGACTCTCAGGAAGGAACGTCCAGAGCGGCACAGCCGGGTAATAGAAAATACAGATGAAGTATCTGTGGCATCTGGTAACCAGGGCTCACCAACATCTTAGGAAGAGCACTTTCATGCCTTAGTTCAGACGGAACATTTGCTAAGGAAACTGTAAAAGCAAGCCACTTTTTAAAGAACTTGGGTTTAAAGGAATTGGGAGAATGAAATTCTATATCAACAGAGCCCGGGAGGAGCCCAGAGATGACATGAGGGATAAGTCTCATCAGGTCAGATAGGGCCTTGCAGAGGCAGCAGCAGGCAGGTAGAGTGCACATAGCATGGTGAGTTCCTAATTCACACCATTCCTGAAAGATGTCACACAATACATGGGCAAACTGAAAGGAGGTCTCTGCGGTTGGTCAGCAGGATGGGGAGGCGTGGGGGGCTTCAGGACTCCTGGTCATGCCCTTACCAGTCTCCGTCTTCCTCAGAGCTTCACGCGAGCACTGGATGGAACCAGCTGCTAGAGGGCAACTGAGTGCCTTGGCCTCTCCTCCCCCAGCAAAGGTGAGCAGCGTGCTGCTGGCTCTGGATGGCCCAGTTACAGAAATGGGCCTCCCCACAAAGCTGCCATGCTTGCACACCACCTCCACTGTGACGCTCAGTGCAAGCTGGCCAGTGTGCGCAAAGGGGCGTCTGTGTGTGGCATGCCCCGGCTCCGCCTCCAGGGCTAATAAAGTCCACCTGGGTCTGGATATGTGCGCTGCTGATTTTGGCTAACATAAAGGACCACAGACAAAGGGCAGCAGACCTAGTAGTTAGCTCTACTAACTAGGACACTCACCAGATAGAAGGAAGCATGGAATTCTGAAGTACGTAAGTGCGATCCAAAAACAGGAAAATACTTCTGATCATGATCTGGCAATCAGAAAAGCATTTATTTATGTAACCTACTAACTAATCAACATCAGGCCTTCTAGACCGTAACTACGGTAGCTGTTTCAAATCCGACAACTACTGTTTCCTCGTGATGCTCCCCCCCCCCACCAATGCCTTCATGAATCATTTTTTTCCCAAAATTTAAGTGTTCCTTTGATGTTTGACTTTTACCTCTTTTATCCAGAAAATCTGATTAGAGGGATTTTAAACTATTTAATAACCTAAAGTATACCTTTGAAATCTGGTTATCTCCTGAATGATGTGGTAAATCTCATGGGCCTAAAAAGATGCTTTAATCTTTGTAAACAATTAAATTTTGCTATGTTGGCACGAGGCTCTTGGCCATGTGTTTGACTCTCCTTTGTAAGCAGAGCGTGGAGGACACAGGATGACCAGCCACCTGTGAGTCTCCTCTCATGGAAGCTACCAGACTTGTGAACAAAAAGCCTTCTAATAGACGGTCATCTATTCTGTCCATCTACCAGGTACCTGATCCAGAAAAGAGGCTCTTTCATTGTCTCCTATTTATCTCAATTAGGAAACAAAAGAATTCCACCTATTTAGCAAAGCTACTGATACCATGTTTTCTTTCACTAACCTTCAGGCCACACTAAAATGTCATACTTTGAATCAATACCTCTACAAAGTCTAAGACTTTGGTTGTCCAGTTACAGTAAAAACTTGGAAGTCAGGCTTGGCTGCCAGGCAGAAACTGGGATTGAGGACAACTTTAGAGACCCATTCAAGAATTAGCTCAAGTACCAGATGTCAGTTGGTTTGAAGGTCAAGTTAGCAGCCAGTCCCAATCCAGAAATGCAGCATTCATATGCTACTTTGCTCTGCTCTTTTGTTCACTTATGTTGAGGTGGATGGCAGCATCTGACCCTAGACAGACCTTCCCTATCTCAGCCCATGGTCTGGCCTACACTGACCATAAGTGGGTAAGGAAAGGTGGATGAGGCTATGCTTTGATTAAAAAGAAAACAGAAAGATGTCTGGATGAAAAGGGGCACACTCTCCCAGCCACTCCACCTCCCTTCTGCTCAGCTACACCAGAGGGTGAAAAGGACCAAGAGGACGTATGTAGGGGAGACCAGACACCAGAGCAGGGCCAATGAGGGCTCCAGAACAGCACATCATATCTAAGACTAGGGTTCGCAGAAAAGAATCAAGACACTTACCATTTGTCTGCAATGATCTTGCCAGCATGTGTTAATCTTCTTTAAAAATAAAACACTATCTAGTGAGTCTGTGCAGATCTGCTAAGGAAAAGTCGACAGACGCTGGCTGATTTAATTCCTGTACTTTCACCCCTTTAACTGCCACTCCTGACACAGAATGCTGCCTCTCCTTCAGCTGCCAGAGGACCCACATCCTGCATTGGTTTTTTTTTTTTTTAATTTTTATTTATTTATGATAGTCAGAGAGAGAGAGAGAGAGAGAGAGAGACGCGCAGAGACACAGGCAGAGGGAGAAGCAGGTTCCATGCACCAGGAGCCCGACGTGGGACTCGATCCCGGGTCTCCAGATCGCGCCCTGGGCCAAAGGCAGGCGCCAAACCGCTGCGCCACCCAGGGATCCCCACATCCTGCATTTGTGATGAATGTGGCCGCATCCCCTGCAGAGCTCTGCTGGCTGAGCTAAGGCCCAGGTCACAGGCTTCATGGGTCTGGGTGGTTGCACCTAGCATTCTCTCCCGCAGAGGGGGCAGAGTGCTGAGGAAGCAGGCCAAATGTTAAGAGCACCAGGGGGCTGGCAGCTGGAGGGAGGGGCTGACGTTGAACTTTAGTTTCGGGCCACAGTGAAAACTGATGGGAAATCTCATTCATGCACCAAATCAGAAACACTCTCAGCTCGATAACTGTTTTTTTTTTTTTTTTTTTTTTTAAAGGCTCAAAATACTGCTTATAGAAAAAAGAAACCCCATTTTGGACTCCTAGAGCAAACCACAGCCCAATGCCTGGAGCACGGCCTTCACAGGTATGCTTAGCCATGCTCACAGGTGTCTGCACACTGTTTCCTGGCTGACAAAGCACTCTTCATGTGTGTGTTCCTCAGTCTTCCCAGCTGTGTGATGTAGATGTCGCGCCCTCTGTGCAGAGAATGCAGCTGCTCAGGTTTCCTCAGCTTTGGTCCCTGTCGCCCTAGCTCTAGAACCCTGGGCCAGTGATAAGATTCCCTTGGCCTCAGTCTCCTCAGAGTGGGTGTGAGGTTAGACATAAAATCCACAGCATGGAGGAGAAAAGGCCCATGGCCAGCACGTGACATGTAAAATCAGACAGGCACCGGAGTCTTCAGGCAGCAGGGAGGTCTGCGGAGGGTGGGACACAGCCAGGACTCTGAGGAGGGGACAGAAGGTCAGGAGAGCCACGGGGGGACTAAGCAGCACACCTGCATCCTTGTCACACTAGTAAGGCTAGCTGCCCACAACCACAGTGGCCCTGGCCAAACAACATACTTTTCTCTTGAGGCTTTGCTAATAAAACACAGTAAGTCCTAGCAAAGGCCTACTAGAGTTCAGTGGTTGACACACTATTTTAGAAGAACTATTTTACAGTTGCTCAATGGTCTATGATGTTAGAACCTTATGTAGATAGTCTGATGAATCACAGGAGAAATCACAACCACATCTACACAGGCATCACAGCAGCAAGGACACAGCAGCTCTGGTACCCAGTGCTGGGTGCAAGCTACTTACTGTGTGGCCCGCACCCTGGCAAGTCTCCATGGGCGGTTTGCACCAGCTGGGGCCAAGCTGTCAGATGGTGAAGCTGCCCAGGGTGAGATACACACCAGCCAATCTGATGGCACTGGGCAGCTCAGGTGCTAAAGCTAAGCAGGCAGCGCTCTGCCCAGTGCAGGGTTTCCTGGGGAGACAAAGGTCCTGCGTGCAGGGATCACTAATGAGAGATGCTTCTCCTTAAATAGTTGGGTGAAGTCAGTAACTTCTGGCCATTTCCCACAGAAAACAGTATGGGGTTGGTCAGCTGGTCCAAACTGGGTGGCAGGCACTGAGCTTCAGCCCTCTACGTATCTAAATCTAGAGCCTCACATGAGCACCATCAGGGCATGTAACACAGCGGTGCTGAAAGCTTGTCCAGGGCTTGCTCTTCACAGGATCCCAACACTGTCCCCTCCTGCCTGGAGAAGGGCCAGACCCAGGTGAGGGTTCAAGCAATCTACTGAGATGAGTCACACACAAGTCTTCAAACAGCAAACAAATACACAGTGGCAAAATGGTAATACCCCATGGAAACAACTACACATACGTATGATCACAAAGATTAAACAAATAGAGTAAGAAACCAGAAAGACGGTGCTTCCACTGCAGTAGAGAAGTGACAGCCTCTATTTGTGTCCATGTTTCCTAAAGCAGGTTATTCTGCTCCTAATCCAGTGAGCATGGCAGCTGAGCAGCCCCCACAGCAGCAGACAGAGCAGGACAACTATCCCATTCCATAGAATGGTAGTGGCTGCCATCACTGACAGCCCTCACCCAAATCAGGTCTCCCTGCGATGGCAGAGAAGGACATTTTCCCTCATAATAGTGACCAAGGCTCACAGTTTAAGCTACTTAATTCTTGCCTCCATGGAGCCCACCATATTCGCCTCTGAACCGTAGCACCAACTTGGGGCTGCATACCAGCTCTGCAGCCTGGGGCCTTCTGGTCAATAAAGCCGGTACTGGGAGAGCACACACAGCCCCCTGACAGCAAGAACTCTGCACACTGACTACACACCATAACTGTGAGCACAGAGGGTCTTCATAAAGACATCCAAAGCCTGCTATCATCTGTAGGGTAGGAAGACAGGAAATTGTGAAGCTGCCAGGTACTTCCAAGAGCAAAAGCTGCTGTTCTTCGATGCATCTTTCTGCTCTGTGACCTGCGATGTTTCTGTGATGCCGGCATGGATGCCCCACAGGAGCCAGCTAGCCCTTTTGCAGCTAACCAAAGCTGTAATGCTACAAAGCTCCATGAGGGGAGGAAAGAGTAAATTCTGTGTGCAGTTTACTTGCAGGCTTCCATTCTGAAGAGACTCTGGTTTGCCATTTAGTAAGAGGCACTCATGAGCTGAACCCAGGCGCAGAGCAAGTCTCCTCTGCATCATGTGACACCTGGTATAGCACACGATGCTTCTGGCAGAGGTGTGGGTGTGCAGGAATAGCCTCGGTTTGGGGGAAAAGTCTATCTCTACTAGGGGGTAACTTATTTTGAAGGAACAGGTAAGTGTGGAATTCATCAAACATGTGAACAGGGAAATAGATTCAGTACCCTAAGATTTGGCCCCCAAGGAGCCCACGGTCTACCTGAGCACCCTTCCCATTGGCCTCAAAAACAGCACGCAGTCAGGATGTAGGAGGGAGTAGTCCTGGAATCTTAGAAAGGAGCCGAACACGAAATACAAGAACACCCCAGGGACAAAGGAAACTCGAACATGCTTACCCTGGAATATTCCTGCCAAGTGTCCCCTTATCACCCATCCCTCCCACAGGGCACAGCATCTCCTCTGCACAGACTGGCTGCCTGGTCCCCACCATGTTTCATAAACACGTACCTCTGCGTTCCCATCAGTCCTCCCAGGGTTTAAACTCTCAATGGCCAGAAGCTTCCTGTACTCCTCTATGCCGTCAGGGCCTCGGCCTTACTGGGAACGTACTGCACACTGGCCAAAGAACGCTGCCTCTGGCCTCCCTTGTCCCTTGTCTCATTCTTCCCAAGGCACTGCCAAGCACAATCGAACTGCACTGGATTCTCACTCCAAACCTGTGAGGGCTCGCAGATGCTTGCAGATTGAGGCCCAAACCCTTCAGGGTACACACAAAGATTCAAATCCAAGCTGTGACTCAGAATTACGGTCTCAAACTCTAGAAGTTCTCCCAGGTTCCAGCCGTGCCAAACCCCGCAGCTCCACGTTTTCACGAGCTCACTCCCTCTCTGGCCGGCTACACCCTACCCATCCTCTCTAATGCCATGGGGCATTATCTCCTCCAGGAAGTTCTGCTTCAGCTGCTTCCTACCTCCCTAATAAAGACATACGAGAGTGTCTTTTTATCTTTTTTTTCTTTGATGAGATACATCGTCATTTCCATAACCATGGTTTATCATGGCATCGAGGACATGCGCCATGCCCCCTGCCACTGTCACAGGACTGTGACAATCTGGAGGGCAGAGGAGGCATGTCTGGTAGGGTCTAGACAGGGAGTAAGTACCTGCTGAATAAGTGAATTTACAAATGCATTTGTGTAACCCACAAGGTAGGATTAACTGGCAGGAAAACAATCTTACCAAGTGGTCAAGAAGTTGTCTCTGAGTACGCTGGGACAACCACATGAAGAATAATCACACCAGCTTACCCTTACACGTGCCTGTCTGGGAACGAGAACTGGGGGGCCTGCTGGTGACCTCCTGGAAGCTTGGAAGTCAGACTACTCTTCAGATGTCAGCATCCTGACTGGGACTCCTGAGCTGTGGCACTGAGGCAGAAGGAGTGCACTGGAGACGTGGTACAAGCTGGCTCTCTTCCAAAGGTCCAACAGCATCCCAAAGGGCAGAGCTCTGCCGGAAAATACCGTAGAGCCATAGTCGCAGACACCGATTCGATAGAATCACAGTGGACTCTGCTCACCCATTTATGGGGAGACCCCTTGCTCTAGGCCACAGGGCCATAATCCAGGGCCTTGATACTAGGCAGTAGAGATGATGCGGCTGCCCCAAGGGATTTCAACAAGCTCTGAATGGTTCCATTTCTCAAGTTGAGGGTAACAGAACAGAAAAGATTCCTTCAGCTAGAAAAAAAAGTCCTAAATCAAAAGGCTCCAACTACCTAATTCCACAAATGAAGAAAGAGACTCAGCCTGCAATCTTAAACTCACTTTTTAGTTCCCACCCTGGGGCAGCGGACGCCATAATAATGGGAAGGCTGGAGAGGCAGGCTGAAGCCAGATGGCATAGGACTGCAGGATCTAAGGAGCTCTGTTTCCCTGACAGACACTGGCCCTAACGGGTGTCCTGGCCATACCATAAGGTGCCCTCGCCAATAACTCCCTCCCTCAACCCTGTGAACACAAGCGTTCCATCATAGAAGAGCATCTCAGCAGAGAGGGTCCTCCTCCAGTTCGCTCAGAAGAAGCAAATAACCATGTTGCCCGGCAGCCTGGGTGGCTCAGTGGTTTAGTGCCGCCTTCAGCCCAGGGCATGATCCTGGAGACCTGGGATCAAGTCCCACATCAGGCTCCCTGCATGGAGCCTGCTTCTCCCTTCTGCCTGTGTCTCTGCCTCTCTCTGTCTCTCATGAATAAATAAAAATCTTTTAAAAAAAAATAATAACCATGTTGCCCAAGAAGAGGCCTCACTGCAAGAAGCCAAGGGCAGCCTCTGGGGGCTGAGAGCAATGGAGGAAGAGTGGCTCTGCCATCCCATCCCTGTGGCTAGACCCCGGTTGGCTGGTCCTGTGCTGCCAGCTAGACCCTGAGCCAGGACTCCCTACCCACATGGCCGAGCCTACAGTGGGTGCTGGTTTAGGCAGCCAAGTCAGTAGGCATTTGTTACACATCAAAGAAAATAAATAGAGATGGTTTTTTACAAGACACAAGGATGACAGAATAAAATTAAGACACTTTTCAGAACTTTTCCTAAATACTGGAACCAGATTCAATAAATGGACACTCTTTTACTTTAATCAAATAAGTGATTTAAAAAGTAAAAATTCCACTTAAAAAAATTCTTATACTAGGTCATATGAAACAAATGTTAGGCTTTGTTCTATAAATAAATGGGCATTTTGAAAGCTGTTGTTTTAATTTTAAGGATACCCATTAGTTCTTTATCCTATTAATGTTCATTCTCAAAGGATTTATGTAACGAATAGAAACTCATGAGCCAAAAAAAAAGGATATTCTCTGAACTGAAGGATCTGTGCTTGGACATGATCTTCACAGACCTGGCGCAGCTGTTTGTAGAGTGTTGGGGAAACTTTGTGAGAACAGAGATTTTCAACAGCCTAAAAACAAAAGGAACAAGTGAATTATTCACCATGAACAACAAATTAGTTCTTTAGAAAGACGTGTGTGCATACACAGTTAAAATCACAATCATCACAGAGGCACCCCTCCTCTGCCATACCTATGTAACCTACAAACAGTTACCTTAAGTTTGAGATGATTATTGTCTGACCCGCAGGATCAGGGTTTGGGAGGATGGGAACAACAGTGGAGTCGAACACAGACGTGACAGCACACCTATGACAGTCATGACAGCCACGTAGTGTGGAGGCACATGTGAGCATCTACAATGCAGCAATCTCTCTAATCTCTCAACCTGGCCACATGCCACAGTCACCTGGGGACTCCGAAACTAATGTGGATGTTCCCATTCATTTGTCAGAGGTGGAGGACGCAGGAAAGGTGTTAAGAGTTTCCCTTGATGATTATAACATGCAAGCCCGAGCATGAAATCCCTGCCCCTGACCCTCAGTGACCACCTTCTAAACAGGTGGGGGAGCAGCAGGGCTGCTCCCCAGTTTCTGCCCACGGCCAGCCAAGGAAAAATTGCGAATGCCAAGGTGACACAGGTAAGTTGTATTCTTTCCTATTTATTTTTCTTCAGGCTACATGTGTAATTAAGTTTATCTTAAATTAATGAAGAAACAAGTTTTTCTGGCAGAAACATTTTTCTTAAAATATTTTTATCCACATCAAAAATATTTATATATTTTCACCAATTCTAACAAATTTCTTTCCAAATTTCATGTACAAAACCAGCAACTCATTCAATCCAAATGAGATACTAAAAACAAATGTAGGTTTTTCTACTGACTAGTTTTGAATCATTTAAAAAAATATGGGGGATACATGGCCTGGAAACCTTTTAGTATTTGAATTTAACTCACACTATATTCCTGAAAAAATAAAGATAACTTAAATTTTTATAAAACTATTTATGGTAATAACCCTTAAAAGTATTAATAGTCCTTATACTTAAAAGTTACTATATATTAATCTGAGTTAAATACAGTAATCACTACCCTATAAAACATACACGTTTACAAAAGGCTCAGGAAAGGATAAGATTAAAAATGACAACTTGTGTTTTAGCAGGTTTATCATCAGTATAACGCCACCACAGTAGGACCTTTCCCCTACATTTTGTTTTGCTATAGAAATAGGGCTCATCTACGCTGTGTTTAAATCCCGATTTCTTTCTCAAACTCTATAATTCCTTTACTTTGTAGTCCTGTCTTCATAATTAAGTCAAAGATCTATCCTTTCAAAAAAAAAAAAAAAAAGATCTATCCTACGATAACCTGATGACAATCCCACACACATAATGATCAGGAAATGTTTTTTTTTTTTTTTTAATTTTTATTTATTTATGATAGTCACACAGAGAGAGAGAGAGAGAGAGAGAGGCAGAGACACAGGCAGAGGGAGAAGCAGGCTCCATGCACCGGGAGCCCGACGTGGGATTCGATCCCGGGTCTCCAGGATCGCGCCCTGGGCCAAAGACCGGCGCTAAACCACTGCGCCACCCAGGGATCCCAGGAAATGTTTTTTAATGTAATACATGAAGAAAACTTATTTTCTTTGTAAAAATCAAGATAAACTTAGTATGTCCTTCATAGAAGGACATCTCACGGAAGGAAGCACTCTGAATGCTCTAATTCCTGAACCAGGAGTCAATGTCCTCAAAACAATCTTTCCCCAGTTGTGACATGCTGTCATTGTTGATTGTGTAACAGTTTCTCCTCTATGTCCTATTTGGACATACTGTGTACTTGAAGCAGATCTATTTTTTACCTAAAACTGAGAATCTGGGGGCCTCTTAAAACCACTAGGCAAGCCCAGGAGCAGCCAGGTTTGCTGTGGGTGCTGTCCCTTCTCTGAGTCTTCTGCTGAGTCACTGCTGGTGTCTTCATATTACAGGCACCAGGCAGAGGGCGGCCTTGCTTGCTCAGGGACCCTGGCACATGCTTCTGTCAGTTACAGCAGCACTACCACATACAAGTCCCCCTCCCCAAAGCAAGTTTGGGGATTGAGTCCTATTTGGGATTCAGAAATGCCTTCTCTGGCATATCAACTATTGAATCTGACCTGTCTGGGGATGGTGCCATTCCTGCTAGTAGTTTAAGAGTCCTAGCAGAGAAGGAATTTGACTAATCCAGTGATTAGAGGTAGGCAAGCAGTACCTGTGTGAGGATGAAGTCGTTTCCCTGGCTGCCACTTAGCCACGTGGAAGCTGCTCATCTGAACCGCCCACATCCAGCTCTCTAATCTAAGCCCGCCAGGCCTCCACACCCAAGCCTTCCTGGCTGTGTCAGGACAAACAAGCAGGGCAGTGTCAGATGCCTGTCATTTGCAGGGCCAAGCCCTCGACCCTGAGTGCACTTGTCCCTCGGGGGTGGGATACCCAACAGGATGTTAGAATGAACTGTGGGGTGGGGAGGAAGCACCACACCAAGGAAACAGGGCACAAGGTTCTGGAAGATGATCTGTTCCACGTAAAGGTCTTGAGAGCCAAAGCTGATCAGAGGGAAACAAGGAGTAAAAGGTGCCACAGCGCAAGAAACCATAAAGGAGAAAACCAGGCTGGCACTAAGAACTATTTCTGTAGATGAAGGGAAAATCACCGCCGGAGGCCAACCCCTACAAAGAAAGGTGCACCAGCCAGGGCCCAATGGCAGGACCCACTTTGCAGCTGGACTGGTGGTACCCTGCTCTCCTGACACATGGCCCAGAGTGGCAGGCAGCAGTGGTGGCAGCCCCATGTTCGGAATAACCCATCTAGAACATGGCCTCTACTAGATGGCAGGCCCACTGAGGGGTGATGGGCCCACCACCTGGGAAGAAGGCACTGCTGGGGCTCTACACCACCAGGTTCCTACCTACAAGAAATGGGTAAAGAACATCACAATTCAATCAGAACCCGGATCTGAGTGAGGAGATACAGTATGAGAGGGAAGTCACCCAGGAACGAGGCTTGAGTGCCAAGGGTGTGCGGTATCTACCAACCCTGATTGCACAGCAGACTCCTTGCCCCAGATGTTACAAGTAAATGACCTACTGAAACGACTGATCCTACTGAGTGCTGGGACCACTGACTTATGCAGTCCTTTCTATTAAGCTGCACAGATTTGAGTTTGCATGTTCTCCTGTTTTTGAATAACTTAGGTACTGAGTTTACTGTTGATTTGTTTCATTCTTTTTTTTTTCTTAAAAATTTTATTTATTTATTCATGAGAGACAGAGAGAGAAAGAGAGACAGAGAGAGAGAGAGAGAGAGGCAGGCTCCATGCAGGGAGCCCAACGCGGGACTCGATCCTGGGTTCCCAGGATCACACCCTGGGCTGAAGGCAGCACTAAACCGCTGAGCCACTCAGGCTGCCCAATTTGTTTCATTCGCAAATTGGCCCATAAAATAATGTGTTTCTCTGTGTCTACTACTCTCCAGGCTTTTTCACTCTGTCTCATCCATTTAAGCCACCCTATTAACGCATTCAATACCTAAGTCCACATCTTCCTTCACTAAATTATCACCAGGCAGGAGGATTTCAGAGACATCAGTATGGCCATCCTCAGAACATCAAGTCCCCCATGACAGTTCTGTTTCTGGGCATCAAAACTGCCTGAAATCAACACTTAACCCTTCTTGAAAATGCAGCCTTCGGCTTTCTGTTGTCTCATTATGCTGACAAGTGGGACTACAATGTATAGACAGGAGACATGAGAGAGGACCTTTCTTCCACAGGAAGTGACTATAGGTACAAATCTGGGTTTGTAAAAACAGACTGAAGAGATCCGTGCACTCAAAATATTCTCCTCCCAGCACGAGCACCATGAGAGAGTGACTGCGGGCGGTGTGTATGTGTGTGTTTGTGAAGACTTTCTCATCAGCACACTTTGAACCTCCCTCTCCACTAAATAAAAACAGAGTAACAGAGAAAACACAGGTGGACTGTCATGGACACACTGAAGCTCCAGGCAGGCCTCCTGCAGTGTCCAAACAGGCAAGGGACACTGTGATGGGGAGTTGGGAAGACTAATCAACATCAAACTATCCTGAAAACTTTCTCAAAAAAACAAAAAACAAAACAAACAAAACCCTCAAAACACTTTTGCACTTTGGTAAAAAAAAAATTGCTGCTTTCAGGCAAGATTCTTTGGCAAAGCATATACCACAGCACCTGAGCAAAAACTTAAGACTTTACTTTGAAACGAGACAAAAGCACAGCCTACTTTATCACAGATCAGGATAGAGCAAGCAGTCAGTAACTACGCAATGACGTCACTTACTATTTCTATCCCATTTGTTTCCAAAAGATCTGAGCTGTTGACTGCATAGTCCTGTCCTTGAACTCTGCTGGGTGAGTCCCCATGAGTGGACAAGAGCCACTTCCCAGGCCCCTTCCTCAATCATCTGACCCCCACTGGGCCCTTCTGAGGTAAGCACCCCTAGCCCTCAGGGTCTCAAGACACACACAGGGCCTTCACAATAATTTCTATGGTGACTATCATAAGACATCCTGCAGGCTAACAGGTATGGCAAAATCATTCTCCTAAGAAAAATCGTGGGCAATTGATACCAGATAGTCAAACCTCCAGGAAAAGGGGCATAATAAGCCCTAGCTGCAAGATATAATCTTTTATTAAACTAAAAACCTATGAGAGTTTAGACATTTGATAAAACTCCCGCTTCTGGTCAAGATTAAATAAAGGGACTAGACTAGCTCTTCTGCCTGAATTAACCAAAAACCATCCAAAATATACGAGGGGTGCCTGGGTGGCTCAGTCAGTTAGGCATCCAACTGTTGATTTTGGTTCAAGTCATGATCTTAGGGTTGTGAGATCGAGCCTAGTATCAGGCTCTACAGTGCACGTGGAGTCTGCCTTCAGCTCAGGTCATGATCCTGAGGTCCTGGGACTGAGCCCCACGTTGGGTTCCCTGCTCAGTAGGGAGTCTGCTTCTCCTTCTCCCTCTGCCCCTTCCCCTGCTTGTGCTCTCTCGGTGTCTCTCAAATAAATGAAATCTTAAAACCAAAAAAAAAAACAAAAAAACAAAACAAAACAAAAAAACCCAGTTTTCAAAACACTGCACATTGGCCTATGGAAGACAAAGATCTCTGGGGGATGGGAAACAAGCCCCAGCACTATGACTACCTACATCACTCTTTCCAGGCTGCAGAGCAGGTGCCTTGAGCTGAGGCTCAAGTCTCCAAGATGAAGGTCCAGAGGGAAGAGATGAGAGATGCATCTAGACAGGAGCTTGGAGATGAACGAGGAGCCCTCGTGGGTGCCCCTTGAGGATTCAGCAGAGCACTGACCTATATGTGAGGAAACTGTCAAGGCCAGGGAAAGAACCACCCAAAAAGTTTAGAGACAACAGTGTCTAGTGCCCAGAGAGAACCTGAAATAGCACATTTCCACAAGACATCAGGCACCTAATCTCATTCAGAAGATTGTCCCACTCAATGGGGCGATTAACCCCGGACAAAATACTGCCCTAGTCCTAACAAATCTTAAAAGCAAGACTCTAAAAGATCAAACTGTTTCCAAATAATTTGTCTGCAACGAAGCTCACAATATTTATAGAAATATAAAAATATCTATCATAGTAATCAAAATTCGTAATGTCTGATGATCAAAGATTATCCAACGGGTTAAGAAAAAACACACGACCCTTAGTGGGGAGAAAAAGCAGACAAAAGTGGCCTGGAACTGACAGTAAAACAGCTATCCTAACTAAGTATATTCCCTATGATCGGAAATTATGTAGTGACAAGGGAAGATACAGAAAAGATTCAAATTGAGCACCTGGACAGAAAACCAATGCACCAGAAAGAATTTCACCAGATGGCAGTCCTGGCAGATCAGACGTCACAGAAGATTAGTGAACCCGAAGACATGAGTGACCTGAATAGTTCTTTAGCCACTAAAGATATGTGCAGTTCACAAGCTCTCCACTAGGAAAGCCAAGATGGCTTCACTGGGAATTCTCTCAAACGTTTAAGGAAAAAAGAACACCAGTTCCATACAAACCCTTATAAGAAAGGAAAAAGAGGAAACATTTGCAACTCTGAGACAAATACACTACAAGAAAACAAGACAGCACTATTCTATGATCACAAATGCAAAAACTCATGAAATGTTAGCAAACTGAAACCAACAGTACATAAAAAATTCATACACCACTAGGCAAGTCAGATTTATCCAAGGACTGCTGGATGGTCTTACCAACTGAAACATCAAACAATGCAAAGAACTAAAATAACAAAAGTCATATGATCATCTTAACAGTCATAAAAGAAGTCATCAAAATCCAACAGGTACTTCTGGTAATTTCTCAGCAAACTAGGTATTTTTAGAAAACAAAACAAAACAAAACAAAACACCACCAAAAAAATGCCCAACACTCAACATGATATTCAATGATGAAGGACCGAAGGCTTTTCCCACTAGGAGCAGGAGCTAAACAAGAGAGTGTGGGTTTTACCACTTCTACTCAGCACTGTTCTGGAGGTTCTGAACAGTGCAGGGATGCAAGACAGGAAATAAAAGGCGTGCAGACTAGAAAGAAGTGAAGCCACCTTTATTCATAGGTGATGTGATTGTCTATGTAGAAAATCCCATGGAATCTACAAAAAGCTACTAGAAGCGAGGTCAGCAAGAGAGCAGGGTACTAGAGTGATACATAAAAAACAATCTCTCTTTCTATATACTAGCAAGAACCAGAAATTAGAACTTATACTATACTACTGCTTATAATACCACCAAACATATGAAACGCTTAAGAGTATTTCATAGAAGATGTACAAGACCTACACACCAGAACCAGAAATCCTTACTGAGAAATCAAGGAAAAGCAAACAAAGCTGTGCCGTGTCACCAGCTGGCACGCTTGGTACCATCAAGACATCAATGTTCCCCACACTAATCTAGAATCTAACACAATCCTAATCAAAATGCTAGTAGGCTTTTTTTTTTTTTTAGAAATTGGCAAACAGATCATAAAATTCATACGGAAATACAAAGGACCAGTACACGTGTACTCAAGTGAATAAAATTTCTAAAAAAATCGGATAATATCAAGTGTCAGCAAGAACACAGAAAAACGGAGCTCTCACATACTGCTGCCCAGATAGATACAAGATGGTATTGCCATTTTGAAAACAGAAAACTTTCCTTGTGACTCTGAGACTACTTCTAGATATTTACCCATGTCCACAGGAGACTTATTCCTTCAGGTTCAGAACAGCTTTATTCCTACCAACTGCAAACTGTCAGTTATGCCGGTGAAAGGCTGTAGCTGTTACTCCCCAGCAACAAAGAAACAAACTACTGGAACTGGGGTGCAGACAACTGCCGGACACAGGTTCCACTGAGGAGACTTAAACTGGTCCAACAGACCAACAGCAAGGAAATCAGTGATCCGCCAGGACCAGGTCAGGAGAACGAACTCTTTGAAGTGATGTAAATATTCTGTATGTTACCATGATAACAGTACTCACACCTCAATATAGGTCACTAAAGTACAGGTCATAGGCAAATTATGCCTCAAAGAGTCGATCAAGAAATATAAACTCACACAGAGTCATTACAAAGAAGGGAGGTGTGTCCACCAAAATGTCAACAGTGGACTTCCTCGAGTGGCGGGAGTATAGGCGGTTTTAATCTTTGTTTGTACTTTTTTGTGAACTCCGTAAGTCTTATAACAAACAGTTATGCAAACAGAAAATTTTAAGTCCAATGTCTTCATAGAAATGGAGGTACCCTACGGACATCGAAAATGTAGGTAGCAGGCAATGGACTAACGAACGCTATTCTCTGAAAATCAGTTATCAGAAACACCAGCCTGCTGATGAACGGGATATGTAAAGTAGTACTCATTTTGCACGACTACGTTGGAAATGGAACATCTTCAAATATAACAAAACCCGTTTTCGCGTCCTAATTGCAACAACCAGAAAATAAAGGAGACCTGCGTCACCAAGCAGGAGCACGGCACGAGTGCCGCGGGGGCGCGACGCGACGCCTGGGGAAGCGCGCCCCGGAGGGTCCCCGCCTCGGCCCTCACCTGGTACAGCTCCTCCAGGTTGTACCTGATGGAGGTGCTGCTCTGGATGGCTCTCACCGCCTCGTGGAGCTTCTGCCAGGTGTCCTGAGTGTAGTTGTCCGGCAGCCGCGGTCGGTCTGCGGGGGCGGGGGGGGGCGGGGGGGGCGGGCGGGGGTGAGGCTCGGCGCCCCCGTCACGCCCACGATCACGCCCACGGGCTTGCAGCCACCCTCCCCCCCACCCCCCACCCCACCCCGCTTCCTTTCCCGGAACGACCCAGTCCTGGGGCGGCGCGCAGACCGGCCGGTGCGGGCCCTCGCTCTGTGGACGCAGGAGCCGGGACACAGCCGGGGCTCCGGCCCCGCGAGCCCGGGGGCCGCTCCCGCTCCCGCTCGGCCCCGGGCCGCGCCCCGAGCAGGGAGGGCACTTCCGGGGACCGGACACCCCTTCTCCGCCGCTCCCCAGGCCCCAGGCCCCGGGCCCGGCACTTCCGGCGGCCGGGAACCCCCCCCCCCCGTGCCCCGGGCCCCTGCTCGCCCCCGTCTCTTCTCCTCTCCCCCCGCCCCGGGACCGGCACTTCCGGCGGCCGGGGGCGCCCCCTCCCCGGGCCCCCCGCCCCGCCCCGCCCCGTCCCCCCCCTGCGTCCCCCCCGGGACCCCCCTCTCCCCGGGACGGGCACTTCCGGCGGCCGGGGGCGCCGACCCCGACCCCGCCCCGCCGCCCGCCGCCCCGCACCCACCTCGGAAATTCTTGATGACCAGCTTCTTGGAGCCGCCGGCGCCGCCCGGCTTGGAGGCCACGGCGGCCGCGGCCAGGGACGCGGGCTTGGTGAGGCCGTTGGTGTGGCCGACGAGCGCCGACAGGGCGCCCTTCCTGGGGGTCTCGTCGGCCATGGCGGCGGCCGGGAAGCAGCGGGCGCCCCGCCCCGTCCCGCCTCCCCGGCCGCGCGGGCGGGCGGGCCTCGCGTCAGCGCCGCCCCGGCCGCCCAACCGCCGCCCCGCCGGCCCGGCGCGACCCCGGCCCCGGCCCCGGCCCCGGCCCCGGCCCGCCCCCGCCCCCGCCCCCGCCCCGGGCCGCCCGGCGGCCGCCGCGCTCCTTGTGGAACGTATAACGGTCGAGGGGGGCGGCGGGGCCCAGCTTGCCCCGGGCGGGAGCTCAGGCACCCAGAGGGCGCGGACCGGGCGTCCTCGCCGGGAGGCGGTGGCGAATCGAGGCGCAGGCTGCGGCCTTCCTCAGCCCGGGCGCGCCGCCATACCGGCCCCGGGCGCGCGCTCCCGCGGACTCTCTTCCTCCGGAACCCGCGTGCGGGGTAGGCGGGCCTGGGGGGCGCGCAGGTCCGGACGGACCGAGGGCCGGAAGTGAGGCGGCCGCCGCCGCGCGCGCAGGCCCCGCCCACTTGCTGCGGAGGGTTCGGCCATGGCGCACATCACCATCAACCAGTACCTACAGCAGGTGGCTACGCGGGGCCGGGGCGCGGGTGTGGGCCGGCCGGGGTCGGTGTGAGAAGCGCCGCGGGCGTCCGCTCGGGGGTGTGGCCGGGGGGCCGTCCTCGGGGGCGCCGTGCGGGGCTGAGGGGCTCCTGTCGCGCCGCCGCCGCCGCCGCCGCCGCCGCCGCCGGTCTCGGGCCTTCCCCGTGAGGGCGTTCGCGGGGTGGACCTTTTTCTTTGAGAACCCGCTGGGCTCTAGGCTCTCGTTAGCGTCTTCTGTGCTTCTGCGATCCCTCACGGCTTTCTGCCGCGGCTGAGCGCTCTGTGGCGTGGCGCGTGCCCCGCTCGGCCTGACGCTGGGGGAGGCGCGAGGGGGAGCCCGCTGGGCTCAGACCCGTGATCCGAGCCTCGAGTCGCGTCTCCACCCGCCGTGCCGGGCGCGCCCCCAGCTCTCGCTGCGCCCCCAGTTCCCGCGCCGGGCGGGCTCTTACCGTCGTGCGCGGCGGCCCCTAGTTAGCACTTCTCCTTGGGGGCGGTGACGCGGCCTCCCAGGGGCAGCGGCCTCCCAGGGGCAGCGGCCTCCCAGGGCAGCCGTGCAGGCAGGCCCGAGCTCCCGGCCCCAGGCGCCGTGCCCTTTCCACGCAGCGCTCCGGCCGGCCGTCAGCCGCAGCCAGCCTCGCCGCAGCCAGCCTCGCCGCAGCCAGCCGGCGCTTTCCGTCCCAGGCAGACCCCTCCCAAGTCTCGGGTTCGGAAGGGTCGCTTGAATCTCGCGGACCCGAGACGCCTGTGGCTTTGGACCCGAGTCTGTTCCCTGTTTCGTACCGAACACATCCTGGGCCAGCAGCTGCCTGTGGACAGGTAGGTCTCCGTGATTACTTCCCGGCAGCTCTCAGGTCAGGGCTTTGCGTTCACTCTCCCCGAAGCTTACAGGTTCTCTTGCTGGTTTCTTGGATGCTCCTGGAACACGTGCATCCCTGGCCAGAGACCAAGTGTGGGGTCAGCCCGTCAGTGCCTGTGGGCCCAGAAGGGTGCCTGCACCCGCGTCGAAGCAAGCATCCACCCCTTGTGTGGCAGGTGATGGGCAAGCCTGCTTTCCGCTCACGGGATGGGGGAGACATTGCTTCGTTGCTCAAAGCGACTAGCCACATCAACAGCCCTGAACAGCGGCCCAAGGGAAGAGCCCGTTGTCAGGGCCTTGTCTTCCCAGCGCTCACTTCCAGTTTGAGCGGTCCAGCAGGGCTGTCCGGGCAATGGTCGGCAGTCACTAGGATGTCCCTGCTTCCAGTGAGGCCCCTTGTATTCAGTGCTCGGTGCTTCCACACGCCCCCAGTTTCTGTTTGGAGAGGACAGGTTGAGTTGACTTACTGTGACGTTTTTTTCTGGTATCCTACTTTTAAAGATTGTATTTAGTAAAAGATCAGTTTGTTTGTACAGCTCTCCCTTGAACAGTGTGGGGGTTAGGGACACTGACTCCCCCAAGCAGTTGGAGATAAGCCTATAACTTTTGGCTCACCAAAAGCTTGACCGATAGCTACTGTTGGCCGAGAGCCTTACCAACCACAGAAAGGGTCAACCAACCTGTGTTTTGTGTTGTGTTATCCACGACATTCTTCTAGCCAAGCGAGAGAACGTTATCAAGAAAATGGTAAGGAGCAGAAAATACATTTACTGTGCCGTACAGTAAAGAGCCGTGGTGTGACCTGTCCGTCAGGGGTCAGCTGCACTTTCCCCGCAACTGGGGCTCTTCAGTATTTCTGGGGTCTCTCTAAGGGCTGGTATTTGGTGTTCTTCTTTCTTTGGTCTATTCTATAAGCTCTTACCGCAAATGGCAAGTTGCTTTTAAAAAACTTATCTACATTTAAAATTGTAACTTTTGGGCAGTCCAGGTGGCTCAGCGGTTTAGCACTGCCTTCCGCCCAGGGCGTGATCCTGGAGGCCCGGGATCAAGTCCCACATCAGGCTCCCTGCATGGAGCCTGCTTCTTCCTCTGCCTGTGTCTCTGCCTCTCTTTCTCTCTCTCTCTGTGTGTGTCTGTCATGAATAAATAAATAAAATCTTAAAAAAAATTGTTACTTTCCTCCAACTTTTTATTTTGAAAACTTTCTCTTTCTTTCTTTCTTTCTTCTTTCATTCTTTCTTTCTCTTTCTTTCTTTCTTTCTTTCTTCTCTTTTTTTTTTTTTAAGATTTTATTTAGTTATTCATGAGAGACCCAGAGAGAGAGAGAGAGAGAGAGGGGCAGAGACACAGGCAGAGGGAGAAGCAGGCTTCATGCAGGGAGCCTGATGTGGGATTCGATCCTGGGACTCCAGGATCACGCCCTGGGCCAAAGGCAGACGATAAACTGCTGAGCCACCCAGGGATCCCTTATTTTGAAAATTTTCAAATCTACAGACAAGTTGAGAGGAGAACATTGAAGACGTGTATACCCTCATCTGGCGCACCACATTTGTGTACCCTTCCCCCCCAGGCGTGTGTGCTTCTCTCCTGTGAGCTCTTGGAAAGGAGGTCGCTGCCCCCGTGGCCCTTCACAGAGCACCGAGGCTGCTGTGCTGTCTGGCTGCTGGGCTGGTGGCATAGCCGAGAAACGTAACACCAGTGTTTTCTGGTAGAGTCTGGGCTCCACATCCACCCACGGTACTGTTTGGAGCCTCTTTGTTACCTGTAGGGTCCAGTCGGGTCACACTCTGAGTATGACAGTCTTGCTCTGTAAAGTCTGTCATCTAGAAGAGTCCTCTTGCCTGTTTCTGGGAGCAGATTTGTTTGATGACAATTTTTTTAAAAATGTCCAGGGCAGTGGACTCATGGATGTGTCATCATCTACCTTTATGTGACTCTTTCTAATGATTAGGTTTGGGCTCAGCTGGCCAGTGTAGACATCCTGTAGCCTCAGGAGGCTTGCATGGGTGCTCCGAACTGGATCACTGGGGGAAGGTGAGGCCCATCATCCTGCTCCAGTGTCCGTATTGATTTGTAATCTGTTGGATGGATTGTGAGAGCCCATGAACATCCCGCTCCACACCCTTTCTAGGGTGATTGCAGCTTTCATTGGTAGTTTTTTCCCAAGCAGGTTATTATGTGAGTGTTTGCCAAGTGGTAATTCTCCCACTCTTTTTACGTTTGTCAGCTACTACTTCATCTGTTAGAAATGCTTTTCCCTGTGCCCCTCTTAAGAAGTATCATAATGCCAAGTTTTAATCCAGAACCAGTGAAGTTATTCTTACTTTCTTTGAAGCTCATCATGTCCCACATTTGGCTGCTAAGAGTGCCTTCAGACTGGTTTCTGGGGCTTTCTGACGTGTGTGTGTCCTTCCTTGAGCTCTGCTTTGCTTTCTGGCACAGTGATTCCTGTGCAAAGCTAATGGATTTCTCTCCTTTTTCCAGTGCTGGGCCAGTCCTTTTTCCAGGGAGCTCTAGTTCCTCTTCCTGGGTTGTGGAGATTAGGAACTGGATCTGAGTTCTGGGTGTCCTCATTGCCACTGGAGGAGGGGAGGGAGTCATTACTTCCAAGCCTTGCTAACAGTTACAAGTTCCGGGGACACCTGGCTGGCTCAGTTGGTGGAGCATGCGACTCTTCATCTCAGGGGGTTGTGAGTCCAGCCCCACATTGGGTATAAAGATTACTTAAAACTTACAAGTTTCAAGAGTAGATGACTCCTTCCCCCCCCCCCCGCCCCCTCCCTGCACCCTCCATGGACCAGCTTGGAGCCAGGAGGTCATAAAGTGATGCGCAGTAGCCAGGAAAGAAAGTGTTTTCCCGGAAGCACCCAGAGCCAGTGAGCTGTCCCTAATGGGCGCCGCAGTCTGTGGACCAGGCCCACAGGTATGCTGCTGAACCAGCTCACCTGGAGTCCAGCTGCATGGTCCATGGGAGGCTGTTTAAATTGAAAGGCCGAAGGTTCTGAGACACGACGTACTAACAGTCACTAAAGCAGGTGAGTGGGTGACTGTGGTCCTAGTGTTCCTTGAGCTGCGCCTCAGGTCTTTTGAGATTTATCTCTAGTCTGTCACTGTCCCTCTTCCTTGGCGCCTCCTGTGACAGGTGCTCTGGCGGCCTTTATTAGCTTCCTTGAGGTAAGGGCACCGACGGGACCGGTATTTTGTGATTATTCCTAATACCTCATGCACCCTGCACAAGTGCCTGTTGTTTTCTATTGGAAAGTAAATCCCTAGAAATGGGATTGCACCTATGTGGTTTTCTTGGGTGGTCGAGTGGCAAATTCCTGATAACTCAGTAGTTGTAGGTGAGATGGTGTGAACTTTCCCGGGTGATGCTCTAAGTGGTACAAGACCCCAAGAGCTGGATCCATTTTTCTGGCTGCAGATGCTGGTGTGTAGGATTATTGGGTTGAGGGGAGAGCAGGTGTGTGCCCCCCTAGTGGGCGCACCTCAAAACTTCTTGCCCTCCAGTCCTTTTCTAGCATTGGTTGCAGTAAGTCCAACCACCCTTGCCATGCTTACTGCTTTTGGGGGTACATCTCACGGCTGGGGAGTGACGTGTACTTTCTGTCGTCCCTGACCGAGGTCTTTGTGGGCATAAATTTGACAGAGTGAATCCCACTGCAGATAAATCATGCTGTATGCGCAGCTTTCTCTACGCTTGCCTTTCTCTGGTTTGGATTTCTGTGTTCTCTTTTGGTAATTAATATCTTCAGATGTTACTTGGTTTTCTAATTGCAGCTGTCTGCTACAACACAGGCTTTCAGGACAGAAATCTGTAAAAGCCCCGTGGGCCCTCAGCCCCCACCTGGTGGGCCCAGGGGCTGGTGTTTCTTCCTGTGATCACGTGTAATGTGTAGTTTCTCTTTTCTTCCCAGACCGAGTTAGGCACTTTTCCTGTGACTTTGGGTGTTTTCCTTTTTTTTCTTAACAATAAGCACACTGCAGACACTCTCTGGCACGTCATCACTGATGGGTCTATCTAAATCTTGCTTGCGACACCCAGGTTCCTGTGGTGTGACTGTGACATGGTCACACTGTTTCGCTGTTGCCATTCCCTGTTGTAGTTTATGTATGGGTTGAGTGGAACATGGCTTGTAGTTTCTTTTTTTTTTTTTTTCTCCATAAGCTTTATAAGTGAATTTTCAAGTGTCTATATGACCGAGTAAAACTAAAATAATGAGCCTTTTTTTTAATAACTACTGACTTATTCATTGTTTCTAATGTGAGTCACCTGTTTCTTTGCCTCTGAAAGAGCTCATTTTGAAATGCTGCGGTCGTTTGCTGGCTACTGAGAGCCCCAGCTTATTCTGTGTTGTGACCAAGAGTCAGGAAGATGGATTTTTGAGGCTTACGATGTGTTGGTTAGGTTCTGCGAGGGCAGAGTGGTTGGTTTTACTACTCTGCTGGTCTCTTTTCAAATGTTTCAGGTCTATGAAGCCATTGATACCAGAGATGGGGCATCCTGTGCAGAGCTGGTGTCTTTCAAGCATCCTCATGTCGCCAACCCACGACTTCAGGTGGGCAGATGGGCCACGCACGCAGGTGTCTGAGAGGCTGCCGGGTGACCAGCTTCCAAAAAGCGGTTGAGAGTTTGAATCAGAAGGAAACTAATATTGCCGCTCTTTTGAAAATTTTAAAGTTCATATCATGTCTGTAATTCTAGTTCCTTTATTGAGCACTGTGTGTTGGATATGGTGCTGAGATGTGCAGCTTGTGCTCTGTGGTTAACTCCCACATGACCCTCTGAGTGACAGAGAAATGCAGCATGTAGGAAGGTCATCTAAGGTCATCCAGCACACAGGCAGTGGGCCCTTAGCTGTGCCCAGGCCTGTCTGTCCCCAAAGCCCACAAATGTATCCTGTTACAAGTAAAGCTCAGTGGAGCAGAGCCATGTCTGCTTGTTCATGTGCTCTGTGGCTGCTTTCCTGCCACAGAGGCGTAGCTGGGTAGGTCAACAGATCTATATAGCCTGCAAACCCAACGGTATTTACCATTGGCCTTTAATGGAAAGCATAAACTGGAAGTGTCCTTGAGTAAGCAGATAAATGATATGCAAGCCCTGTCTTCTATAGAAAAGAATCTTGGCGTTTTGTAAAGCCCTATTTTTCTCATCGGTTTTCATTGTGATATTGAAATGTGTTCCTGTTGGGGCACAGTTTTTCTTTTGAAAGAAAAAGGAGCTCTGTATATTGGAGATCATATTTGGCAGTGTATAGGCTGCACCTCCGACCAAATAAACCAGTTTGTAGAATAGAAGTAGGTTCTTTTTAAAACTTTGATTTCCCTGAATGGTTCTCCTAAGTAACCATGGTGAAAACCATTGCTCTAAGTGGAACTTAATGCCAGAGGCTCCCTGGCCAGAGACTCCTCAGCCATGACACGTGCTGCCCATTGCACCACCAAGGGTGGATCCCTTCATCATAAAACTCCCTGCCAGCCTCTTATGTGGCCCTCCATTCACTCATGGCCATTGTCTGCCTAGATATTCCACCAGGGGCCATGGGGCAGGCCTTTTGCTGCTGTTGTCCTGTTTCTTCCCTCACTTACACACATGGATATGCACATGTGTTTAGTGCATCAGGGACTAACTGACTTCTTTAACTCTGCGTGCTTTCACCCTGTGGTACTCATATGACCTAAAACCTGGCCATTAAGAAGGAAGAGGACATTAGAAATAAATGTCAGCTGGCCTCACCCAGGATAGATCAGGTCGCTCTGTCACCAGGAGGTGAAGAAGGGTGATTCCTAACATGGCATCCCCTCACTCAGCAGCTCACTCACACCAACTCCCTTACTGAGCATGTAGTAGCTGCTTCATAAATATGTCTTCACTGACTGGCTGCCCAATGTTAAGGTATACACCTAAGGTATACAGGCCCTGGGTGACAGTTGTGACAGTGTCAGGTGTTCCTGTTAACTGTAAAGCGTATGTTCCTTTGAAACCAGATTTGTCTAAATCTCTTTCTACACATTGCATTCTTTTGGTGCCTTTTCATTTTATTTTTGTCATTTTTTTCCTGTTATTTAGATGGCCTCCCCAGAAGAGAAGTGTCAGCAGGTTTTGGAACCCCCTTATGATGAAATGTTTGCTGCTCATTTAAGGTAACGCCCTGGTGAGGAAGAAAAATAAAGCAAATCGGGAAATTACCGCACTAGGGAATTTGTTTAAAAACTTAGGCTTGGGGATCCCTGGGTGGCTCAGCGGTTTAGCGCCTGCCTTTGGCCCAGGGCGTGATCCTGGAGTCCCAGGATCGAGTCCCACATCGGGCTCCCAGCATGGAGCCTGCTTCTCCCTCTGCCTGTGTCTCTAGGTCTATCATGAATAAATAAATAAATAAAATATTTAAAAATAAAATAAAACAAAATAAAATCTTAGGTTTGAGGGGCACCTGGGTGGTACCAGTATTGGTTTCAGCTCAGGTCATGATTTCGGGGTCGAGATTGAGCCCTGCCTCATAGCTTTGTCTGGTTCCATGTGGGGGTTTGCTTGAGATTCTCCCTCGCCTCCCTCTCTTCTCTTCTCTCTCCACTGCTTTCCCCCTTCACACATGCACTCTTTCCCTCTCATAAATAAATAAATAAATAAATAAATAAATAAATAAATAAGATCTTAAATCAATCGTCTTAGGCTTGAAACAAGGAATAATTTGCTTTGAAAAGAAAATTGCATTTGTGGGTTTTGTTTTGTTTTGTTTTTTTACTATTTTAAATTCAATTACCATATAGCATATTTCTAGTTTCAGGGGTGAATTTAGTGATTCATCAGTCTTACATTACACCCAGTGCTCATCCCATCATGTGCCCTCTTTCATGCCCATCACCCAGTTACCCTGTTCCCCTACCCCCCTCCCTTCCTGTGACCCTTAGTTTGTTTCCTATGATTAAGAGCCTCTCATGGTTTGTCTCCCTCTTTCGTTTTATCTTGTATTATTAAGAAAGGTGCACTTGTAATTTCCCATTGGTAAAGCTTATGAAAATTTTTGAAGTTTAAAATATTTTAAATTTTTAATATTTTTTTTTGTCATTTCAAAGATAATGTATGCTCTTAAAAGTTGAAGATAAATTGTGGTCACATATTTACATATTTATATCACTTGACACTCCTTTCATTGGCTGTTTAGTGGTCTTTTGTTTGGGGTGGGTGTATGGCTCACCACTGACTTTTGCCTGTTTTAACCTCTTTGCTTTGCCAGGAATGGAGCTAGAGCCAAGCAAAGCAAACAAAAGACTTGCTTTTCAGTTACATCTCATGGGTACCGTTTTCACCATTGGAGCGTGAACCAGGCAAAGTTGGGTGTCCTAAAGCCTGTGGCATTTGATCACCCTCCTGTCCACATGCCTCCAGTGCTTCCAAGCAGGCTGGGGGGAGGAAGGCCTGTGTGAGCCCTGGGAGATCTCTGGAAAAGTCAGGGTACCACTGGGCTCCTGGTAGTGGGAGATTTCCCACTGTTTCCTGGCTCTGTGTTGAGGTTCCAGATGTGGTGAGGAGCTGACCATGGCTGACCCTGCCCAGCGGGCATCCAGTATGAGCTCCTGTATGAGTATAGCTGCAGTGGCAGGGCCGTGCTATGCTCTTACTAGTGCCTGGCACTCAAAACCTACTGTAACTAGGGTCCCCTTCCGAGGCTGGAAAGAATTGTCCCAGTACATACTGTGGGTTTCCTCTGATGCCAGCCCGTTTCAGTTCAAAAGTCACCTGTGTATTTTTTGTCCTCCTTCCCATTCCGGTAGCCCACCAGGTGGGAGCTGCACCCCGAGTGCAGGGTAAGCGGTGCACTGGGGCGACTGTGATGGAAGTGAGGGGTGGGCCTGTGGGGCTCGCCTGCAGGTCCCGCTGCCTGTGTCCTGAGCCCATGCTGTCTCCTCTGCAGGTGCACTTACGCGGTGGGGAACCATGACTTTGTAGAGGCGTACAAATGCCAGACTGTCATCGTCCAATATCTTTTCATTTGTGTTATGGTTCAGTTATATCCGGGGTTCAAGATCTGGAGACGTTGGGTCATTTTTTTTCATACCTTTAATTAGAAAAGAATTGAAACTGATTTTTGGAAGAGAAACTCGTTTAGTTATTTCATGGAGGTTCTTAAATGTATCATGGACCTTAGGACTGTAGTCCAGTTACCCATACAGTGAGGTAGAACACAGGTTACGATTAAGGGTTCTTTCTAATTCTGTTGTGAAAAGTGATATTTCCTTGAAAGCATTAAGGATAGCTGCAGGACTAGTTAGTCCCTTGGTGAAATATGAGAACTCCAAACTCTAGGCATAGATTGCCGAGAGTGGACTCCACTGTGGTTACTGGAGACCTTCATCCAGCCACTGTCTGATTTAAGTCATTTAAATGGGTTCTCCGACTTAAGTCAGGGGATGTTCTAGTATTTATGTGTATTTCAAGAGTTTTAGTTCGCTTATTTTTTAATCTTCTTGTTTAAATATACAAAGGAGAGAGACTAGCTTTGTCTCCTTTGAATTTAAGAATTCTATAATCAAGGAAATAGACTTTATACTGCAGATGCTAAAGCATACTATGTATAATTGTGACCGCCTGGGTTCAGAAAAACCAAATAAAATGTTTGAAATTGCCAGTTAAGAGTCTTACAATAGTTGCTTAATTTAGAGAACATATGTGTGAAGTAAATACACTTATCTGTACTGATACCTAATGATATTCAGGTATTTGTTCATTTTTTCCTTCAAGAACTTAACCTCTGTGATATATAAAATTCAGATTCCTTTATATTCCTATTACAATTTGTAGCATTGCTTGGGTTTTGCACGTTGTTCTTTCCTTGACATAGTACGTCATTCCTGCGTGCATTTCAAGCCCACAAAGAAGAAAACTGGTAAGTACAAACAGAAGTAACCAGAAACTGGCAAATGGCAAGGTTTTGGTTTTGGGTTTTTTTAGCAGAAGCTTTTTAAAACTTTATTCTAAACAAATGTGTGTCGTGTTTTCTACATGGATATTTAATGTCTTCTGTTGACACAGGATAATATTGCTGCGGACAGTGGAGGTTCAGTAGTTAGTGTAAATATTAAGTGGTAGACCAGCCAGATTGTTTGCAGTGTGCTCACATAAATATGAAGCCTTGTTATTTCAGACCTTCCATACCCCAAAATACTTGTCCATTGTCAATTTTGAGCTTGCTTTTGGTTTTAACTTGGACAAAAGGGCAGATCAACAGCAGTTCATGTGGAGTGACAGGACACATGGCAGTTTGGTGATTTTAAGTTCCTTGACAAACTAATTCTTGATTTTATGATTTATGATTTATTAACTATGGGTAAATATGGAAAATACCTTTTAGAAAAAATAAATACCCTCTTTAAATGAAGACTTGTCTTACACATAAAACCAATACCACCAGCTAAATTTTAAAAAATCCTTTTAGGACATTTTTCCTATTAAGTTTTCTGGGTCCTGTTAGAAGGTCTTACTGAACCACATCTTGCTTTAATGGAGCTGTTTGGGTAATGGTTGAAGGGAAGGAGAAGATGTTGTCTGGGGCCAAGGACCCTGGACACCTCAGGATCTAGACCTCAGGAGGGTTGGGGCAGTGGGTGGGCATGTTACTGTCTGTCGATCAGGAGCCCCAGGGGCCATGGTGGAAGTGAGGAAGGCAGTAGTAGCCGACCGATTCCTGGAGGTTGGTGGCCCTACTGTGGGTAGGCAGTAGCCCTGGGTGTCAATGTGACCCCTGCCTGTGGGGACGGAGTCTGACCTCATGGCCTCCTCAGACATGCTTGCTTCTTTGCCCCACAGGGCTCTGCCTGTCATGTATGCTGTAGCGCTTGACCTTCGAATATTTGCCAATAATGTAAGTTCAGTTTTTGTTACTATTCTTTTAAAACTCAAATTCAGTTTCTTTTTTTTTTTTATAGATTTATTTATTTATTTATTTATGATAGACACACACACACACACACAGAGGCAGAGACACAGGCAGAGGGAGAAGCAGGCTCCATGCCGGGAGCCCGACGCGGGACTCAATCCTGGGTCTCCAGGATCGCGCCCTGGGCCAAAGGCAGGCGCCAAACCGCTGAGCCACCCAGGGATCCCCTCAAATTCAGTTTCTATCTGTTGCTTGCTTTCATGTCATTCTTCCAAAAGTTTTGAGGTTTGGGGTGTACCTGGTGTAGAGAGCAAAAGTTCAGGAGGTGGCTGGACGAACTTTTCTCTGGGTAGGTTCCCACGCTGTGGGTATTGTGGGAGTTGAAGCCAGTGTGGCTCTCAGAGCATTAAGTGGTGGGTCTCCTGCCCTGGACTGGGTCCCAGAGAAGCCTCAAATCAAGGAATGACAACTCAGAGATGAAGAGGCCCCAGGGAGAGCCAGAGGGGGCAGGCAGCCCAGGAAGACAGCCATCTTTGGCACTCCCTGCTGTAGCCACCCAGAGCCTGCCAGTCCCCAGCATTTCAGCAAGGGCGATGGGGAGCTGGACCCACTCCAGCCAGCGGCAGCTCCCCACCAGCATGGCATCCACTGCTGATGCAAGATCCATAGTACCATGACCTTAAACCCCAAATATCACTTACAGTAGAATCTCAGCCCATGAGGAGAGATGGTACACAAATGGTAGATGTTGGAATTCCCTGACTGGATCGCACCTCGGCCATCATGAAGCCTCAGGGAGCAATCATGAACATGCTTGATACAAACGAAAACATAGATGGGCTCAGCAAAGAAATAGAAGTTGTAAAGAACTATGATGGAAATTTCTAGAACTGAAAAATATAACTGAAACGCAAATTATCTGAGTCTCCAAAGAGCTTTGTTTATATGAGTTATAGCTATTTGTATTTACTGTATTAAAAACTTTTAACTGGGATTTTAAAAAATATTCATCTAAAATAATAAGCCTTTTATGTGTTAACAGAATTGATGTTTTAAATAAAAATAACAGTATTTTCCAAATGAACAAAATGTGCTGAAAAGAGTGACAGTTTTTCACATTTTAATCTCAACAGAAGCCACCTGGATCCTCTGTGCCTTTGTGTGCACAGTGTTGCAGAAGACGGTCTGGTGCCACACAGGTGTAGATGGAAAGGAGAGGAGTATTTCAGTAGCCTTTCAGATAATTGCAGACACCTTTTTTATACTATGCCAGAGCTCCAAGAGATAGTTGCTTAGGGTTAATTAGTGTGGTCTCTGAAGCTTAGCAGTGAGCTTTTTCTACTGTTAGATAGAATTCTCTACTGTGTCCTGGTCTCTGGGTGCATTGTGTGCTCTCGTGTGATCTTGTAGCATCATACATTGATCATTTGGAAAATTTGGTTCACTGAGTTATGGAGATGTTCCAAATGTTGATGTGTTTCGTTGTGTAAAAACTCCAAACCAGAAAAACCCCATTTGTTTAATGTCTCCAGTGACCTTATCAGAAAAGTTCTGAAGTAAGGAAATCCCAGGTTCATGGTGGTTGATAGAAATTGTCCAAAATTCTGATTTTGTTGTTGTTGAAAGGACAGATGTCATTGGCAACAAATACTGTTAGTCGTTTGCCTGGAATTGAGGATGTATTTCACTCACGTTCAAGCAGCTGGTCCCTCAGATACCCTCGCCTGGCCCACTGTGCTCCTCTGTCAGCCACTGGTTCCATGGGACAGCTGGTGACTCCAGCAGCTTCTCGAGTGCTTTCCCTTGAAAAAACCATCCTCCTTCACCATGCAGCAGATGTGCTTTGCACATACTGTCAGTGCATCACAGAGAATATTAAATATATGTGTATTCAAGAATCAAGACTTAATATTTACTGTGTCATCAAGGACAGCTTAAAGTGAAATTAGGGTTACTGGTTAAAGATTGCACGGGGGTGATATCAGGGACATGGTGTTGCCGCTTCTGTTTGGTGTCGCTGGAAAGGCCCCCATGGTTTCACCTCCTGCCATGCTTACTCCATTGGTGCAAATGACAAGACAATGAAAAGACAAATAATGGCTGTAGGTGTTCTCATGAAGGTAGTTTGACCACATGGATCATGTGCAAGTGTTTTGAAGACTCCCAGTGGTTAGTAGACCAGACTTTGAGAACCTATGTCACACATGTAAGTCAGAGTAAACGGACCCAGGAAACAAGGGGACAGTCAGTGCTGGTGATGACTTGGGTACCTGTGGGAAGTGTGTGTGTTTGGGGGGTTCTGACTGGCTATAAGTGGGGGCGGGAGGGTCCATGAGCCTATACAGAAGGGCTCCCAGGGCGGTGAGGCCACCTGCCACATATGCATAGAGAACAGGTGGACTTACCAGGCTTGAATTGGTTGAGGAGTTGATTTGTGGAAGAGGCAGGAAATACTATTGATCTCTAAATTTTTAACAGTAACATCAACCAGAAGATTTCACCAGAGCTGCTTGGGACTTTGACCCTTGGTTATTGCCGTTTTTACTTCCAGGAGCATGGGAGGTTTCTTTTTCATTAAGGGACCCAGAGGCAATGAGACATAAATGTTTGTGTTCTATCAGGCAGACCAGCAGTTGGTAAAGAAAGGGAAGAGCAAAGTTGGAGACATGCTGGAAAAAGCTGCTGAGTTGCTGATGAGCTGCTTCCGCGTCTGTGCCAGTGACACGTGAGTACAGCCCTGGGGGTAGGCACCCTGGCCCCTGCCCTCTGTTGGCAGATGACCCTGTGGTTGTTGTCCTGTCCACTGTTACGTTTGGCAAGTGAGAGAGAGAGAAGGACATTTCTCTGGCACAGCATTTCTGGAGCATGTTCCTCCCGCCCTGGGTCCCATTTCCCGCTTGCCCGGGTCCCATCTGCCAGGAACCCACTGGCCTTGGCTGCAGTTCTGTGGACGCTGAATTCTCCAGCCGTCTTTCCTTGTCTTCCTGTCTGTCTGTGGATGCAGAATTCTAGATAGACGGCTCTTTCAGTTAGCACTCACAGGCTGTGCTCCGGGATGGAGCATGCCCTTCCCTCTGGCCATGCTGCCTCTTCGCTCCTGCCGTGTCTCCGTACTTCCTTAGGGTTGATGGAGCTACTTGGAGCTGTACACTGGTGTGTTTCGTTAGATCCTTCCAAGGGTGATTTTTGTATTCCTCCTCCTCCCCCTCCCCCTCCCCCTCCCCCTCCCCCTTTTGTTCCCATCCTGTCTCCTCTGGGACACTGGGCACACATATGTTAGACTGCATGTCCTGCCACACAGCATCCCCTCTCAAGCCATCAGTGAGTGACTTTACACTGACCTGCTTTCAGGGAGACTGGCCATTACTTAACGATTCTAGATTTTACATCCGATTCTGCTTTAAGAGTTTATTACATTTTTCTCCTGAAACCCCATCTCTTCACCTATTGTAAAATCACACATACTCGATTAGGAGTTTCAGGAAATTGTGAAGCCAAGAAATAAAAAGTAAGGTTTTCCATACCTAAGTGAAACTTGTTCATGGCAAGTGTTCCAGTTTCTCATTTCTCAGTTCTCTATCCCCACCAGCCCCATCTCAGAACATTCCAGCCAGAGTTGTGACCCGGGATCCTCCCCATAGAGGCTTCCTCACCCCATGGGGCTCAGACAGAGGAGGCTCTCCTTTTGTGGCTTTTGTGGCAGACGGCATATTTGTTTGTAGCACTCACCATCATACTCACTTGGATGATGACACTCAGTGGCCAAGTCTGAGGGAGTCCATTGTTGCTTCCACGCTGTGTCTCTTGGGCCAAGACAGAGTTCAGTACATGCTTGTCATGGGATAACTGGCTTTCCTGACATGACACCCAAAACTAACCTATGAAAAAATAGATAAACCGACTTCATCAAAATTAAAAACTTGGTGTTTTAAAGGATGCGGTCCCACAAGTGAAAAACCACCACAGAATAGGAAAAACGTTTGCAAACAATGTAACTGACATTAGCCTCACACATCTAGAATGTGTGAAGATAAGTAATCAATGTATGTGGACCAAGGACCTGGATAGACATTTCTGCAAAGAAGATAGATAAATGGCCAATAAACCCACAGAAAGATGCTCAACATCCTTAGTCACCACAGAAATGCAAATAAAAACCACAGTGGCTGCACTTCATATATGTAGCATGGCCAGCATTGTGCTGAGCACATAGGGGGCTCCAGTGGGTGGGAGGCGGGCACCCCGGCTTTGCAGAGCAGCAAGGCAGGGCCTCAGAGGCCATGTGACATCTCCCCTCAGGGGTTGCTTTTCTGAGTGTCTCTGGAAGGGACAGGCAGGGGCAGTGCCCAGAGCAGAGTGGTCACAGGTGCTACAGACTGCTTGCGCTTCCTCCCTATTTTGTTTTCTACCCTCCCTAACCCTTTGAGGCAGGCAGTGGAATGTTAATTGTCTCTATGCTGATTTGAGGTCATACTTCTAGTTAGTGACGAGGCCTAAGGGAGCTGGCTACTATCCCAAAATAGGACTTTGGTGTTTATTTTTTTTTAAGATTTGATTTGTCAGCACAAGCAGGAGGAGAAGCAGAGGGAGAGGAGGGAGCAGACCCCTGCTGAGCAGGTAGCCTGACCTGGGCCTCCATTTTAGGACCTTGGGATCATAGCCTGAGCTGGAGGCAGATGCTTAACTGATGGAGTCCCCCAGGTGCCCTTGGGACTGTGGTATTTAAACACTGGCTGTAGTATTCACACCTTGGTCGTAGGGAGGGATTTCTTTTACCCCTGGCTTGTGAACAGCCTGGTGGTTCATGTTTATTTCATATACTTTGACCCCATGCCCTGGGATTTCAAGTGTGCAGGCGGCTTGCCCCTGGCCCCTCTCTGGCACCCCATCTCCCTGTCTGGGCATGGAGGCTGCACCCAAGAAGAGCCATTGCAGAGCGCAGATACACAGCATACTGAACTGTGCATTGTGTTTCAACATTTGTTGTGAAAATCCTCAAGCATCTGACAGTGTGGACAGTTTGACAGGACCCACCACTTGCACCATTGGCATTTACTGTACATGCTGCACAGTGTCCATTCATGCATCTTTCCTCCTGTGCATCTAGGAGTTTTCTTTTTCTTTCTTTTCTTTCTTGGTATGTTCTAAAGGTTATGAGTCCATCAGAAACTTCCGTAAATGCTGCAGCTTCTCCTTGGTAGTGGGAGGTAATGATTTACATAGATCTTTTTTTAATTTTTTAAAAGATTTATTTTTTTCTGAGAGACACAGAACGAGGCAGAGACATAGGCAGAAGGAGGGGAGCGTGATGTGGTACTTGATCCCAGGACCCCGGATCATGACCTGAGCCGAAGTCAGACGCTCAACCACTGAGCCACCCAGGTGCCCCAATTTATACAGATCGTGATTGTATTTTGACAAGTGTGTACCTGAGTGTGACCCTCCTAAGGCTGAGGACATTGCCACGCCGTCCTCTTCCCAGGTGGACCCTCACCAAGGTTCTGGTCTCCCATTTGACCACGTTTGAGTGGACTCACACAGCATGCGCTGCGTCTTGCTGTGTGTAAGATTTGTCTATATTGTCATGTGTTTCCGTAGTTCATCTTGTCCTTAGGAGAAGCGAACACACTTCCCATCTTTTTCACACGTGCCTTAGTTAATAAATGTGATGCAGACGAGGTAGTTCTCTGCGGGGAGTGCACCACCCACATGCTTTGTGGTGTCGTCTGTAGACCTCTGCTCTCGAGTGGTTTGGTTTAATGGGCGTGGCTTTAGCTGTAGGCTTTTATATGCGGGTACTGATCTTGTTTAGGCACATTGGGGTGTGTGTGTGTGATTTATAAATGCTTCTTTCCTGTGTAACTTGAACTGTTTTCCCATAGTCGGGCTGGCATTGAGGACTCAAAGAAGTGGGGGATGCTGTTCCTGGTGAACCAGCTCTTCAAGATCTACTTTAAGGTGTGCTTCCGAGTGGGCACTTTCACTGCTCTGCAGGTGTTCCTGAGTGCTGCCTCCGTGGGTCCTTGGCACCTGGCCGTATCAGTCGAGTCTGTTGAGTGCCTGCTGGGTGCAGGGACTGTCACAAAAGCTTTGTGTGTGTGATCATGTTTTAGCCTCCACCCCTTGAGGTAAACACTGCGCCTTTCAGGAAAGCACGGCAACAGCACCCAGAGCAGGTGTCCATTGTGGTGGGACCAGGCCTTCCACCTGGTGGTGGTGGTGGGGCGGGGACAAGGTCCTTCCTGCCTCATGAGGTTGGCTGGTGAGGAGCGGCCCCATTGGGCACTGGCAGCTAGCCCCTGTGTGCATGTCCTCTGTGCCCGTGGCTTGTGTTTTAGCGTTTCTTATTAAATAACCAGCTTTGATGATATAATTGGCTTTGTAGTTCTCACTTTAAGGAGGGATGTACTTAGTAAAGTGAGTCCTGCTTGTTTTGTTTCTTTTGAATAATACGTGAAATGGGTTATTGTAGATCAACAAGCTGCACCTGTGCAAGCCCCTCATCAGAGCCATCGACAGCTCAAACCTGAAAGATGAGTATAGCACTGCCCAGAGGGTGACGTTCAGGTACTACGTTGGGCGTAAGGCCATGTTCGACAGCGACTTCAAGCAAGGTTTGTTGTTTTGTTTTGTTTTTAAGGTTTGTTGTTAATCTTTGATTCCTGTGTTTTAAAGACACTGGATTCTGAGCAACGTTAAGTGATGTTTTGGAGAACACTCACTGCCTCTTACCAGTTCATAAGGAGGAGCTCAGTGTGACCCAGGCTGGTTTCGTGTGTGTGTGTGTTTCTGTGTGTCTGTGTGCTTATTGACCTCGGACTTGGTGACATGAAGGGAGGCCTGGGCGGGGTCACTGGATTCTCTGCCAGGGTTGCAGTTTCCGTGGGCAACTTTCCTGTGTGAGGTGCTTCAGCACCACCATCTTCTCGGGAGTGTGAGTGATCACCCTGTCCCAGTGCCATGCCCTCATGGCATCTGGGGACGCGGAGCCCGGGCCGTGGGCAGTTCCACCACAGGCCTCTGCTTTAGAAACCCCAGGGACCACCAGAGCTAGAGGGTTGCTGCGCAGCATGGTGCTGGGACACTGCTCGTCAGAGCAGTGCTTTCTGGAAACCACATCACTGGGAGTTTCCATCATGAGTTCTCTCAAGAACAGGAAGCCGAGTCTTTTCAGCTTTGTGATCATCTGGTACGTGGAGGTTCTCTATGGTCTCCTCTACCGTGCACGGGCCAGACTTGTGAACCCATGCCCTCAGTGGTGATGTGCACGTGAAGCAGCATGACTTCCAGCTGTGGATTCTTGACAATAAAAGTAACCACGCTGCCACGGTGCTTGCTCTGGTTTTTACTCGATAGCCTCATTTTCTGTCACAAAAGTTTTAGTAGGTCCACAGCTTTCAACAAGGGTTTCCCTTGATTGTGCCCCCAACCTTTTTTTTTTTTTTAATATGAAGCCTAAAAATAGAAGCTTTTAAGTACTATTCTTTTAAAGTTTCTTAAAGGTATTGATGTTTTTTTTCTCCGAAGATTCATTGAGTAGTATTTTTGAATACTTACAGTAAAAGATGATTGGCTAATATTAGTGGTAGGAATATATGGTTCCTGAAACAACAGTTTCAGAGGATGAAACAGTGGGATGCGGTGTGGGCAGGAGCTGCAGCCAGTGAGTGGTGCTGTCTCTGCAGCTGAGGAGTACCTGTCCTTTGCCTTCGAGCACTGTCACCGCTCAAGTCAGAAGAACAAAAGGATGATTCTGATATATTTGCTTCCAGTAAAAATGCTGCTGGTGAGTGACTTTTCTCCGCTTCTACAGATGTCATCGCTTTGAGTAGGTTGATAGAGTCTTAAAAATAAGCAGATGGTGCATAGCTACCACGGTCTGAGCCACATGTGAGCACACCCCTGAAATAGAGGAAGGGTCAGCTGCTTTGTTTGTGGCCTGAACTGTGTATCTCCACAACTGACACCTCTGGATCCTTCTAGAAGGGCTTTGTGCTTCGTTTCTCTTAGAAGTATGTGCCTGTCTGCCTTAGAAGTGTAACATACGTGAGATAAAAGAAACGCGTCTTATTTCTATTTCCCCTAAAAGTCTAAATTAATAGAAATGTATTAAGCTGTAAAGAAAAATGTTTTGCCAGCCTGTATGTAGGTATCTTATGTAGTCACTAAAAGTTAGAGACTTAAAAAGAAATGACCGGTAACTAGCACTTAATTGACTAAAACTTCTTCAGAGTGATAGGGCATCCTTTCCTCCCATTTAAAAATTCTTTAAAAATTATCAAGGCAGTACCCACACAGTTCAGACTTGAACAGCTCAGGGTAGCTCTTAGTGGAGGGGCCACGAGCCATGCCTGCCTCCAGAAACAGCCAGTTGGAGGTGGTTCAGCTAGTTCTTCTGGACAGCGTTTCCGGGCTCCCAGCTCCTCGGCCAGCGTGTCTTCTGCTATGGCTTCCCGCTTCTACACAAGCCCCGAGGGCGTGAGGGGGTCAGAGCCGAGTGCTCCTGGGGCTCTGGTTACCTGGCCCAAGTTGGCCTGTCTGCACTATGCCACAGGTCTCTCCGTGACTCCCGGGGAAGCAGGTTGCAGGTTTTTAAGACGTGGCTTCCTGGTAGGGGTTTTATCACAGGTGATTGTGTTAAAAATGCAAGGCTGAGATATTGGCACTTTGTCCCAGGGTCACATGCCGACCATCGAGCTGTTGAGGAAGTACCATCTCATGCAGTTTGCCGAGGTGACCAAAGCTGTCAGGTATTCTCTCCTTTCCCATCTGGAGTCTTTCAGACACAGAATTAATGAAAATTCTCCCCCTGTTATGTGAGAGCTCGCCCTGGCTTGGGTTTTCATGACCATGTTTGCACATTTGTCCTCACTCCCAGTGAAGGCAACCTTCTGCTCTTGAACGAGGCCCTGACGAAGCATGAGACCTTCTTTATTCGCTGCGGCATCTTCCTCATCCTTGAGAAGCTGAAGATAATCACCTACAGGAATCTTTTCAAGAAAGTGTGAGCTAAGTGTTTCCTTCCTAACAAGTGTGAGCTCCCAGTGTGACTCCTGCAACTGCACCATGAGGGCCAGCAACCACCCTGGGGGGTGGGGTGGGGTGTGTGTGCATGTGGACAAGGCCCCAGCACTGCCCCATGGGCCAGCCTCACACTGGCATCCCTGCATCCCAGCGCCTGGCACAGGTGCTCGTTTTCCTTACTCTAACCAACTAGACCTGCCCCACCTCTCCCCATTTGTCAGAAAGTTCAATTCTACATCCATCCCTTCTCCCAGCTATGGGTAATGTGTCCAGAACGGTGAGGACCCTGCATCGGGGAATCCATAGGGTGCAGCATGTTGCCAGGGGCGTCCTGATGGCAGAGACATCAGACCATGTGAACGATGCACATGTAGTAGATGCAGACACCTATGCCAGTGTCCTGTTCCTCTTGACCAGGTTGCCGGCTCAGCCTCCAGAGTGCTGGCGTCCTGTCAGTAACCTGCGTAGACCTGTGCTTCCCCTCCCAGGTACCTGCTACTCAGAACACACCAGCTGTCTCTGGACGCTTTTCTGGTGGCCTTGAAGTTCATGCAGGTGGAAGACGTGGACATTGACGAGGTGCAGTGTATCCTGGCCAACCTGATCTACATGGTGAGCGGCCCCTCCCTGCCCCACCAAGTCCACAGTTTGAGGCTCTGGGGTCGTGGCTTGAAAGCTGTTGGCTGTTGTGAAGGCGTCTTCTGTTGGAGCTCACGTCACCCTCGGAAGGGACATTGCTGAGGGGCTGCAGGTGGGCGGACATCATGCAGTGTGTCTGCACCATCTCTGCATATGTTCGTTAGGCTCCCAGAGAATCACGTGTGTGTTGGAGGCAGACCAAGTGTGCATGGGGCTGCGGCATGAGCACACCTTGGTTGTGACCGTGGCCCCTCTCCTCTCTCCTTCAGGGTCACATCAAAGGCTACATATCACATCAGCATCAGAAGCTCGTTGTTAGCAAACAAAACCCGTTCCCTCCGCTGTCGACAGTGTGTTGAGTGTACACCCGGCCCTGAGGATGGGAGGGCAGTGGAGTCCTCTAGGTTTATCTGTACCGATGGACTCGGCCCTGTGCCAAGAGGGTACTCTGCAGCCGGACCCTCCAGGGCTCATTGGCCAGCACACACAGATGCCTTGACACCTCCGTGGTCACTCACAACTACATCCACCCTGTGGACACCTGGAGCTCCTTGAGGAAGCACGGGCACATCCATTGACATTGGAGCTGGGGACACGTTCGTGAAGGGGTTCTGTCCCCAGGGCAGCTCTGGCTCATTGCATAGCCGTCGTGCATGAGGGAGTCTTTGTTTCTATGCACCTCTTTCTAGGAGATGTCATCCTGAATTTATGCAGATGGTATATTCCTTATTTTATCTTCTTAACGTAACATTTTTATATGTTAAATTTCAACATTGTATGTGATTATAATGCTTTGGTTAACCTAAGGCTTCTTTTTACAAAATGAATTTACTTTGATAACTTCCCATGTTTTATAGCTCACCATTTTTCAGAGTTTGCACATCTTCTCTGTTTATATGAAGCTTAGTAAAGAAGGAAACACCCTAAACTGTTGTAGTTTATCTTTGCAACGTTATCAAGGCTAGGAGCCACTTACCCCCTTGTGGGTTCCCTCTGTACACAGGCCACTCCCAGGCATGGCAACATGGAACCAGCAAGCTTGTTTGGTCGCGCATCTGCACTGTGGTCAGGGCTCAGTGGGATGTTTGCTTCTGCTCTCTGTGATGCCAGCTGGGGCCCTTAGGGCTGTTGACCACTGGAGGCATGTTGGTGCTGGGCTCCAGCTCCCAGTGTCAGTCCATGCAGGCCTCGTAGGTCACATAGTGTCACCTCTGCCCTGGGCACATCCAGATTCTAGCTGAGGGGGATATGTGCCCTGAAGGGCATGTGCAAAACAGCAGGTGCTTGACTTCTGGGGCTGCCTCTCCCTCGCCTGTTCCCTAAGCAGGAGAGCATGGACACTGGATGGGCACAGAATCACCTTGAACTGGCTCTCCGTGAGGAAGATGACCTTGTGCTGCTCACCAGGGTCACCCTGCAGCCTAGTGTCGAGCGGAGTTCCCATAGCACCTGGGTTTTGCTCTGGGCTTAACAGTAAAGCTGAGGTTTGTCAACATTTCTGGCTCCTTCTTGGAGCCGTGAATAGTGACCGTGAGAGTCAAGGGCTGGCTGTTACTGGTAACAAGTGGCCCTCTTTGACCATGGAGGAGACAGACCTTGGGTGTCGGTGCCTTGGGACTCGACCCATGTGCTCCAGGTTTGTAGACACCAAGCATGCACTGCAGGTTCATCTGCATGGCGTCAGGAGCATACCTCACCTCTGCCCCAGTGGGAGGGCCCCCTCTTCCTGAGTCCTGCCCGACTGGCCTCTAGAACCATCGTGCTAAGTCGTGTGGGAGAGTAGGGCCGGGCTTTGGTTTACTGGCACCCCAAATGCCAGTAAAGTCGGAGCTGCAGGCCACACCGGCACGTCGTCTCAGTCCAGCCCTGTCTTTACACAGACGCTATTGAGAGTAATATGTGTGATAATTTCCAAGAGAGGTTTCCATGCAGCAGAGCCAGGCTTGCTGTGGGGACCAGTGGTGCAGCCAGAGTGTGGGTGGGTGTGCCAGCAGTGCTCCCCATGGGAACATGGCAGTGCACGTTCACATCCCATCTGTGTGAGCTGTGACTTCATGGAGACATGGACAGTGACTGCAAATCTGTGCTCTCCAGCATTGCCTTCACCCTCCATGGGAGAAGCTGCTACTCCTCCGTTCAGAGCCGAGGCACCGCGATGCTTAGCAGGCTGCTTCTGGGGGCACAGTGGAGAGGCACAGCCACAAACCAGCGGCTCTCATGAGGCCCAGGTCTTCCTGCGACCTCTCGTGCTCCTGATCCTTTCTCCAGAGGGCCTATGGACGGTGTTCCCCACAGGTTCAGTGGCCTGCAGGCCCCCACCCCCACGCCCTGGAGGCTGTGGCATGGCCACGGGTAGGGGTGGCTTTGAGAAGCTCTGTGGGCCAAGGACAGCTTCTCTACCACAGAGCTGCTTGGGGAAGTAGGCAGTTTGGCTAAAAGCTTGGATGCATGGGGAGGCTCGCTGGAGTGGGACGCCGAGCAGGTAGGCTCAGCTCACCCAGCAGGTGCATGCTGAGCACCCTCTACACACCAGGGTCTGGCCAGGTGCTGGGACTTGTGCAGGAAGCCAGACGGTCCTGGCCGACCAGCCAGGTGGGGCCAGGACCTCGCCCGTCACCCCATGCAACGAATCAGGGTACAGGCAGAGTGGAAGTCGGGGAGCTGCTGAGATGCCATCCGTCAGACACCGGGAGAGTTCAGATACCCTGGCTGCGGGGCCGGTGAGTCAGCTCAGGAGCCAGATGGGTAGGAAGTAGGGGGGCATTTCAGATGGAGGCAAAGAATGGCAGGAAACCGCCTCCTAGTTCTTAGACCCACACAGGGGTGGGGGAGTGGGAGCAGGACTCCAGGACAGGACCCCGATTTCTAGCTGGGCACCTGGTGGGCAGTCATCAGGATGCAGACAGAAGGCACAACTCCTGGGAAGCTTCTTGAAAGACAACTGGTGTGGCCCTTGGCTGTTTGTCCCTCCCCCACCTCCATCCTGCTGCCTGGGACCCAGGTGTGATGGCTGGAGCTCTAAGTGCCATTCTGGAATATGAGGACCAGGACCAGTTCATGGAAGACTGAGCGGTGATGGCTAGGGTCACGCCCACCTTCCTTTCGTTTTATTTACTTATTTTTTGCTCCTCTTGATGTCTTCCATTGTGTCGGCCCCTGAGACACGTTTACTGGAAGCGATACACAAGCTGTGTCCACTTACAGCTTTTACTGAGAGGATTTCTGGCAGCTTATCTGATCACAGCTCTTTCAGAACTAAAATCCCATAGACCCCGTGATTGTTCGGTGTCGCCTAAGATCATGTGCCATGCCACCCATGGGTGGGTCTGACAGATAAACCACACTCTAACTGCAGTGACGTGGTAAGGGTTTGGGTTTTACTCCAAAGGTTCTGACTGGTGGAGTGATAGGCCCCGTTTGGTGTTCCTCAGACCTGTACTTGCTGTGGGGAGGGTGCACTTGATGGGGCCGTCTGGGGGACAGGCACAAGCCCCAGGGGTCAGAAAAGTATCCTAGCACCACATTTAAAATCTCAAAAGAGAGGGATCCCTGGGTGGCGCAGCGGTTTGGCGCCTGCCTTTGGCCCAGGGCGCGATCCTGGAGACCCGGGATCGAATCCCACGTCGGGCTCCCGGTGCATGGAGCCTGCTTCTCCCTCTGCTTCTCTCTCTCTCTCTCTCTGTGTGTGTTACTATCATAAATAAAAAAATAAATAAATAAATCTCAAAAGAGAGAAGTTAAAATAATTTTAACAGTATACTTCTTTAACACAATAGATCCAAAACAGTGTCATTTCAATGTGCAATCTTTGTTTTAAAATTGTAAATTTGAGTTTTTGTGCTTATTTCTGTGTGTGCAGGAGGGTGCGGGTGCTGAGGGAGAGCAGGGCTAAGGGGCTGGTGTGCAGCGCTAGTAGGGTGGTGGCAGGTGGTGGGACCGGGGCCCTCCCCCACCGTTGTCAGCCTTGATCCTGCACGCCCACGGCCATCTGGGTGTCACTCTGGGAGGACTCCCATATGTCAACAATGCAAGTAAGGAGGGAGGCCCCTTCCAGGTGGGTTCAGGCCTCCCGGGTCACACAGGTCCCCTCAGCCCATGACTGCCTTCGTGGCCCTGCAGGAAAGGCCCAGACGGCTGGCAGAGCCTCCCTGAGGGCACCTACCGAGCTGGACAATGAGGTGGGGGAGCGGTGCCTGGCAGCACCAAGGACAGGTCTGCAGATCCGCCTGAGGACACGGGGCTGCGGAGAGTGAGCACTGGCCCTGCAGCAGCGAGCACACTGGGCCTCCGCCAGAAAAATTCACCTCACCGTGAGAATGTTCCTGTTCCAGGCAGAGGGCTGAGGTGTTGAGAGCACCTCCCAGGAGTGAGGTCAGTAGGTCCCGCCCCAGGAGCAGCCCTGTGTGACAAGGCTCTGTGCAGAGGACGCAGCCTGGGCAAGACAGTCACCCGGACCCCACCCATCAGGTGCTTGGGGGACACACAGAAGGGCAGGGAGCCCGCTGAGTCTCACTGCCAGGAGAGCAGATAAGAGGTAGCGTGAAGTCGGCCGCAGGGGCCCCGTCCCAGCACACAGATGCCAGAGTGTCAGTAGGGGGTCCTGAGGCTGCTCAACACACGTTTCTGGACAGGGACCTCCTGCCGTGTGACCAGGGCCCCAGATGGTATTTTGCAGAACCGAGTGTGTGCTCCCAGCCGAGAATCACTGTCAGCACCATAGGGGACCTCACACCCCATCCAGGGTCCCAATCACATGCTCCCCATGTACGCCAACTCGACAGAGAAAGCCCCTGTCCTGCCTGTGATGAGAAAGTAATTTCTCGGTGATGCTTGAACACTCAAATATCTTGCTTCTTGAGGACGTTTGCACAAGAGTTTGGTGACCTTGGCAACATGCCTCAATCAGCAACCCCTGTGGTGGCCCCTTCACAGACACCCAAGCCCACCCGCCTAATGAGGTGGCTCTGTCCCACTCCCTGGGGGCTCAGCCTCTGCAGGTGGGGCCAGCCACCCCCACCCGAACTTGGTCTTGGCCTGCAGGAGCCCTTCTGTATTTGGGGGCAGCTGTGACCCTCACAGAATGAGTGGCAGTTACGGAGCAGACAGGGCTCCTGAAGTTCATCCTGCAGCCTCTGCCTGTCCTCAGGAGCAGCACTCACCCTCCGTCTTCTCCCCCGTGGCTCCTGCCTCCCCCTGTCCCTGCTACCCGCTACCCGAATCCCTGAGGGACTCCTGGCCTAGGCTGCAGCAGAGCAGCAGCCTCTGTGTACGCCAGGGGCCCTGACACTCTAGGAGCTGAGTGGCGCCAGGACACGGGAGCAAGCAGATGAGCCCGGCATGAGCTCCAGCCCAGCGCCCCCCCCCCCCACACAGCATCCAGCCACAGGGCGGGTTGTGTCCGTCTCCTTCAGAGCCTTGTGGAACTGAGTGTCCTTCTCTGACACTGTGGATGAGGGGGCAGGCTGGCCGGGGGCTGCCCTCTGATGGACACGGGCCTGGTGGCGGGTCAGCCCACAGTGAGGGAGGGAGCTGCAGCAGCCAAGGCAGCGCTGGGCTCTGGGTCTCCAGCTGTTTCCCTGGGCCCCAGAGCACCGCTGACCTTGGAACCCACGCAGAACCCGCAGGGGCCGGCCGGCTGTATTGGGTGCGGCCTCCCTCCAGGAAGGCCTCCGAGCTTGCTGGTGGCCCTCAGACCCACTCTGGAAGATGGTGGGCACGTTCGCATTGATTTTCCTAACCTCCAGTATCTACTGTTTACAAAACACTCTGCCCTGCTCGTGACGTTTGGGGGCGTCTCTGTACTGGAACTTTGAAACTTTGCTTAGTGAAGTTACGCAAAACACAAACTCTGTGGGGGCATTTGGAACATAGCGCTGGCGGGTCGTGTCTGAAGGCACCTGTCATGTTTTCTAAAGCGCTTTGCTTCTCGTGACCACTTGGGTGGAGGGTCTGGAGCAGCCGGCCAGCACACATGCACACAGGGTCACAGAGGGGCCACCTCCACAGGGACTGATGGGGTCTGGGGAGCATCAGGGCTGCTCAGGGGACAGCTGCCGATTCCAAAATGAGGCCACGGGGAGAAGCGGCTGCTAGGCCCAGGTGAAAGCATCCCCGCCTGTGAGAGACTCCTGGAGAGCCTGCCCTGGAGGACGCGTTTTCACCCCTTCTCAGGACCGGGACCCCCGCCCCCTCCCCACCCTCAGGTCATGGGCTGTACCCCAGAAACCTGTCATTCACAAGTGTCCCTAGCAATCAAAACCAGAAAACCCTGCTGTGCGCAGAAGCGGCCCTCATGGTTCTGGTCATCCCAGGGGCTCTAGACTCCTACAAGTGTAGTGTTTCCCAAAGAAGCCCCCCACCCTGGTGAGAGAAAGGCAGGACCTAGTGTTCCAGAGGGACATTCTCTGCCACAGAGCAAGAGAAGACCAGGACGTGGAATCAAGACGGGTGGGCCCCCTGCACCTGGGAGACCTGCTCCAGGCTGCAGCCTATCCAGGACAGCCCATGTTAACACAAACCAGAGGCAAGTAGCTGCCAGCGGATCTGCAGGTGGGATGACTTTAATGGGGGTTAGGTGTGGGGGCCCCCCGCCAGTGCTGGGGCCACTCCCCTAGCTTTCATGGACCTATCGATCCACTTGAGGAAGTTGGTGACCTTGGTGTAGATCCCATACTTCCCCTTCCGAGCACATCCTTCTCCCCAGCTGACAATGCCAGTGACAAAGTAGGTGTCCTTGAATCGGGTGACATGGGGGCCCCCGCTGTCCCCCTGACAGGCGTCTTCGGGCTTCGAGTCATAGCCGGCACAGAACATGTTCTGGGTGATGCTGAAACTGCTGGACAGCTTGCACGTGTTCCTGTCCACATACGGCACCTCCATCATCTTGAGGGTGGTGGACAGGCGGCCCTTCTCGTGGGTTTTCCCGAAGCCGCTTACAATGCCTGTCTTCTGCGTCATGAGTGTGGACTCGGCCCAGTCCTTCTGCGGCAGGCAGGCGGGCGCCACGTTCATGCGGAAGGTGATGGGCGTCTTCAGCTTGATGACCGCGATGTCAAAGTCGTATGTCTCCCTGACAAACTTGTTGTGCTTGATGATCATTTCCACCTCGTGTGCCGCCTCATTGCCCTCCTCCTTGTCTGTGTCCCGTTCACCTGCAACAGGTGGTGTTTGTAGGAAAAAATGGGATATGGTCATAGAAAATCTAAAAAAACAAGGAAAGCATAACAAGGTCAACAAAAACAGCCTTTGGTGTCAGCCCAGGGCAGCCACCAGGCGCACTTGATCGCTGTGAACAGCAGGTCAGGCTGACATTCCCTGAGCCTGCGATGAAGCAGGGGCGCCCGCTCTGACCCCACGGCCGCCGGCATGAACTGGGATGTGCTGAGGGTCAATTCTCAGACGGAGAATGAAAATGCAAATTCAAAATGTCTCATTGATATTTTTACAATTGATTACACATTGAAATAATAGTATTTTGGCTATATTGGATGAAGCTATATTACTAAAATTAATTTCATCTGTAAACTTAAAAAATGTATCATGGAAAATTTAATGTAACTAGAAAACTAAAGATCACATGTGTGGTTGTACTTGTGGCTTGTGCTGGTGAAGGACAAACGACAAGACGTGACAGGCTGTGCTCCGTGCCCAGACTGTTGAAGAGGAGCTCTGGAAGCCTACCTGGAGGAAGGGACACTGAGAGGAGCCTTGTGGCACTAGGGAAGACCACCCCTCACCTCTGCCCCTCAGGGTTCCTGGGTGTCAACTACCAGTTCCAAGCTGGCAGCTCTGAAAATAAGGAAGTGACAGAGGGCACTGCAGGGCCTCGGAGGAGCTGAGGCACCACTTACCTACCCTCACCGTGAATTTCTTGGCTTGCTGGAGACAGTGAGCTGCAGTGAGGATGTAGTACTCGCTCAGGATGGTACCTCCGCAAAACCCCTCATTCTCCTCATTGATGAGCAGAGCCTGCAGGGAGCACAGCCCATCCACCAGGTTGGGTCTGACATCTGAGGAGAGGAGCAGGAGAGCCTTCCTCCCCGCCTCCCAGCCTGGATCAGCAGCACCGCCCCCCTGCCCCCCCCGGCCCCCCCCACCTGGAGTGTGCATGTCTCCAGCCAGGAACCTGCAGACTCCTGAGTGTCCCACGGCCATTCTGCCACCACGGCCTCTGAGACCTTGCTGTCGTGGGGCTTGCGGTGGCCACGGCCACAGCCCCTTCCCAGCCATGCCCTCCCCACCCCCCTCCGCCGCCACCACTGGCTGGATGCTGGGGGTTTGGGCAGCTCCTTTGCACAGAGCAGTGCTCCAACGGACTCAGCAGACATTTGTTGAGGCCCCACTGCCTGCCCAGTGCTAGCACCCGGGGAGGCTTCTGCCCCGGGGCCACAGACCCCCAGAGCCATCCCAGCACTCTCGGCAATGTTAGGCACAGAAACGCGATTTTCAGTGTGAAAACCTTTGCTACGTGGCTGTGAACTCTAGCGCAGACCAGGCAGGCCAGTCTGGTGTTTGGGGTGGTAGCTCAGCCGTGGACAGGTCTCAGAAACCCCCACCCAAGGGCAATGTCCTCCGGATCCATGTAGCTCCCCCTGCCGGTGACCGTCTTCTCCCCGCCAGGCCCTGAGAGGGAGGGAGGGAGCCCTGGCCTGGGAGCACCGGCAGCCCAGCCCGGCAGGCACCGCCCCTTCCCCCAAAGTGTCAGGTTGGCAAATCTCCTCAAGAGTCCCACACCTCACAAGCGGGAGTTGCTGGCTAGGGGTGTGCCCCGGCCAGTGGAGCAAGGAAGAGCTCTTGCAGACCTCCAGGACTCACAGCTGTGCCGTGGACTTTCTGGGCACGATTTATCAACGCTTAACCAGCTTGGGTGACCAGTGGGGGACAGTCGGTCTCCCCAAGGCCTGGACCCTAACTCTTCCTCCTAAACACAGAAGCCAGACCCCTGCTGGGTTGGGCTGGGCTGGGCTGAGTAGCAGGAGTCAGGAGCCCTCTGGACAGGATCCCGTCACACAGCCTGGGGCCAGGGGGAGCTTGTCCTGCCCGCCCTGGCGGGGCTGCGTGTTCTCCCATGGGGCCAGGTCAGTGCCACTGGGGTGGCTGGGGTGGGCTCTGCCCTTCCCACATCGAGGCGTGTACACATCAGGGGAGAGATCTGCTGATCTCACAACTACACTTGACGCTCGGGGCCATGTCGGACCCACACTGTTCTCCCTGAATGTGTGCTGCAGGCAAGGTGACCACACGCTGAGCTCCTCCCCGGGCTCCCAGTATTTTAGACAAATGCATGCCCCTTGAGGAGCCACGAGCAAGACAGGTGGAGGTCATTCCTCATTCCTACAGGTTGTCGGTGGCTCTGGGGCTTTTGCTGGCGGAGAAGCAAAGTTAGGATTCCAGATAACACAGAGGACACCCAGTTACATTTGAGTCAAGTATAGAACAAACAATTTTTAGTATAAATGTGTCCTATGTGGTCTTTGAGACATACTTTAATGATTGTTCCTCGTTTATCTGAGATGCAGAAATCCTGTGTTGTTATTTGCTAAATCTGTCCTAGTCCAAACCAACAACCAAAGAGTGGTTTTTACCTTGGCAAACACATGGATATGCTCTTCTTCCAATCACTACCTGCCTTGTCAGGATTTATATGTTTGGTAAAAAAATGTTTTACCAAATCAGAGCTAAAGCTAGGGGAGTATCTCCGGCCTGCCAGTGGTCAGAAGAGCAGCTGAGGGCCCTACACAGCCTGGGGCCTGCAGCCTGAGCTGTAGTGGTCTGTCTGTCCCTTACAGGCAGCAGACAGGGAGGGATGGGACCCCTGTCTCACCTCAGGCAGCATCCTCCCTGGGGCCAGCGGGTAGCCCCACTGCCGGCGCCACCCAGGCCCGCTCAACAGTCACCTGCCAGGGACACTCGCCATCTCTGCAGTCCTGGCCACCCACGATCCGGACCAGGCCACTTGCATCCTCGTCGGGGTCAGAGGTTGTCTGGTTGAAAGGCAGCAGGAACATGGTGCTCTGGGTGGGAGACAGGTCTCCGGGGTCATACTCCTCCAGCATGCCGGCCTCTTCCTCTGCGTCTGGGGGAGCCTCGCTGCTGGGGGCAGTCTCGGTGGCCCTCTTCCTGCGTCCCACAGTGGTTTTCCCACAGGGGAAAGGCTCTGAGAGAACACAGGCTGGCTTCAGCCACCCAAGACCCTCCCTGTCCTGCACACAGAACTCTCATCTGACCCAAAGGGGGAAGGTGGGGAAGAGGCAGCCACGTGGGGGTGGCAGAGGGGACCCCTGAGAGCTCTGGGTTACATGACGACGGAGGACAGGCCCACTGTCTGGGGCACCTGAGACTCTGCACCCAACCCAAGCTATTGGTCAGGCAGGGGCAGGCTTGGGGGCGGGGCAGACGAGTGAAGAGAGAGGACTAGCTTCTGGGTGGGCCCCACGGTGGGGCCAAAGTCAGAGGTCAGGCAGGAGCAGTGAGGGCAGGAGCTCTTTCCCCGGAGACCCAGCCCCTCACTAGGCCAGACCATCCCAGAGCCTCCAGGCCACTCAGGGCCTGGCTTTCATCTCAGGAAAGGAAACTCAGGGTCTGCCTATGGCTCAGGTCAGGATTCCAGGGTCCTGGGATCAAATCCTGCCTGGGGCTCCCTGCTCAGGTAGGGATCTACTCCTCCCTCTCCCTCTGCCACTCCCCCCGCTAGTGCTCGCTGTCTCTCCCTCTCTCAAATAAATAAAATCTTTAAATTAAAAGAAAGAAGAAGAAAGAAGAAAGAAAGAAGAAAGAAAGAAGAAAGAAAGAAAGAAAAAAGAAAGAAAAGAAAGAAAGAAAGAAGAAGAAAGAAAGAAAGAAAGAAAGAAAGAAGAAAGAAAGAAAGAAAGAGAGAGACAAACACTAAAGCCCATCACTTGGGGCCTGTATGACTTAACCATTCTTGGGAGTCCCTGGTTCCCCTTCTGGCTCCTGTACCCTCCTCCCGGCAAGTCCATGGCCCTAGTAGTTGGACCTGTGCTGCTCTGCACCTGTTCCAACTCCCAGCCTTCCAGGGCAACAGGACGTGCCATGGTCACAACCACATCATGGGTGTCCAGACAGGCTCTGTGCAGCATGGCCCCTGTGCCACCCTGCACCCTGACGTCATCACCTGCACCCGGGGAGTCAAGCAATGTCGCTGGCTCCATTTCTCAGACAGTTCCCAGAGACTGTGGGTCTGTTCCCAAACCTTGTGGCCCACCCAGGACGTTGGCCAGCGTGCCTACTCTGGCCAGGGAGCCTGTGGGGTGGCACCATGTGCCGCCTACCTGTGGAGATGCAGGATTTGCCATTGTCGCCGAGGACATACCCGCTGGCACAGGAGCACACCACGGAGCTCTGCTCCTCCCTGCAGAACTGGTCACAGTCCCCGTTATCGACGCTGCAGAGTTTCCGCGTGGCTGCAGGACAGGCCAGAGAAACCAAGGCTGTGTCTAGCTGGGAGGAAGGATGGCAACACCAGGGGCCCGTGTACCTACCTGCCAACCCCACCATGGGGCCCCCAGCAGGAGCGAAGGGCCTGAGCTGCGTGCCTAGTGTGCACCACAGGCTGTCCGGCCGAGGAAGGGCCTCAGACAGAGCTGAGTGGCCACCCCAGCCAGGCCCTTCCCCCCGAGATAAAGGGGCTAGATGCATCTGGGACTATTTGGGTTTTGATGACAAAATAATTACAGTGATATCAACTTTAGTGTGACTTTATAAACCAGGCATGATGGCTCCAGGCTGAGGCAGCTCTGGGCTCTGGGCAGAACCATGTGGAATGGATAGGCCCGTCGAGGATAGTCTCAAAGGAATCCAGGCTAAGACCGCATTCCACGCGTTATAAAGTAAGTAACATGAGAAAAGGGCGAATCTTTCTCCTTGGGGGCCACTGGCCTGATACAAATCAAATCTTTATTACAAAAATTAATCACTGTAATAGGAAAACTCTCTGACATTTCCATGTAGAATTAGTTAAGTGTACCACATTTTTATAACTGGACCATCCTGGACATTTGGAATGGACACTCGCTTTTCGCAGATGTGAGTGGAGGGTAGTGATTGCAAGCCTCAGCTGGGACCATGGGGAATCAGCGCCACCCCAGGGGAGTGGGTGCTCTGGGCTCTGGGTTACGGGGTCTGTGCTCCACGCATGTACACTAGCCTCTCGCAGGAGCGGAGAGGTTCAGATTGTAGGACACACTTGGCTGTCAATGAACCGCTCTGGTGCCCCTACGATGCCACCACGTGAACCTCAGCAAGGAGCCCCAGCCTGTTTCCCAAGAGCTGTGGCTTCTCCCCTTGTTCCTGACCCGGAAAGAGGCACTCACACAATTCACAGTTTTTGCCCTCGTATCCTTCTGGACAGATGCACGAGTACTCCAGGAGGCCGTCTTTGCACTGGCCCTGGTTCTGGCAAGGGCTGCTCTCACACTGGTCACCATCTACAGAGACAGGGTTCCACTGAGCTTGCAGGCAGCTCCCACTAGCAGGCAAACGGCCTTGCTGTGTTGATCTTGGCACATGCCATTCAGATAACTTGAATAAACCTGAATTCTTCCTGTCTCCCTGTAAACACATCTCCCACCTGGACTTCATTTTACCCCCATGTTCTGTGGCTCTGTGTACATGATGCCCTTATCTAACTGGGCCATTGATAAGCTCTCCTGTTTCTGCCGAGACACTGGACCATGTGTATTCAGCAGAGTGAGGAGCCTAGGGCTGGTGACTGGGGCTCCTCCCTCTGCTTGTGCTCTCTCTCTCTCTCTCTCTCTCTCTCTCTCATTCCCTCTCACTCTCTCAAATAAATAAATAAAATGAAATTAAAATTATCAGAGTTTGGTACCCCTCAAGTAAGAGTGAACTAATTAAGTCTACACCTACGTAACAAAACTAGAATTAGCAAAAGTTTCAAAAAATGATCTCATCATAACTATTATGGAAATACTCAGAGAGGAAAAGTCTTAGTTGAGTAAGAAATAAATGGGATTGGAAAGGAAATTCTAGAAGAATTTTCAAAATGCAAATACAGTCTCTCCCTGTTTCAGTGTCTGAATGAACCCCACTCGATATTAAGATAGAAAGCATCTCACCTTTGTATTTATTCCAGAATTCCAACTAAAAGGGAAAAGAAGAGTTTAAAATACATTAGGGAAAACACAGCCATTTCACAAAGCACCACAACCTATTCTCTCAGGCTGAGCGAACAGAGCAAAGGCCTTTTCTGGTAATAAATTGCACTAGAACGCCTGGTTGAGAGGGGATTTTCAGATCTGCGGGATCTGTACAGGTGGACTTTGGTCACCTTAGATGCACAATCTCTGTTGAATGTTGAAAATTTATTTTCAAGTAAATCACGGAGGACTGGATTATACCAGAAATGGTTTGCTCTGCTGGCTGCCCCCAAGCCGATCAGTGAATGGTTTTGAGTTGAGATATCTGGGTCAAAGCTTCATTAAGGGATCAGGTGCTTGGTGAATAATCATGTTCAACTGAAGAAATGGTTATTGGTGATTAGGTTAAAACAGGGCACCAAAGACCTATATTATACAAGAAATTGTTCATAGTCTTAATTGTTTTTGCAGTGTTCAGTAGCTTGAACCGTGTGCCACCAGACTGTGGTCTTCCCGGGAATAGGGTCGGAACAGATGTGAGGAAGGTTGGCAGGGAGAGGAGACCACATTGGCTCTGGGCAGCATCCTCAGGAGAGCTGGAAAAGGCATGACAGCCACTGTGGGGATGTAGCTGAGGTCCAAGTGGTGTGCCCACAAGGCAAGGCCAGCCCAGGACTGCAGGCAGCATCCGGATGCTGAGAGAGGCACATGGGCCACCTTTTCCCTCGCAACCTCTCCACCGTCCTGGGCGCCCAGGGAAGCTAAAGATGTGTTCGTTTCCACCTTCCAGGTGGAATCAACCCGGTGCCACCTTGATTTGGACATGCGGCTCCAGGACTGTGAATGTGAATTTGCTACAGAAGCCTCTGGAACCTCATATACTGTCTCTTTAAAATTTCACTAAAGAAAGCATCACACAGCAAAAACGACTATTTTGTACAGTTCTGTGAAATTCAGCAAATGCCCAGGTTTGTACAACCCCCACCACAGCTGAGACACAGGGCAGCTCCTGCCCTCCAACACTCGCAGCTCATGGCAGCTGCAACCCCGGAGCCACACATCTGCTCTTCGTCTGGGCTGCGACTTCTGAGTGTGTTGTGCAAACAGACTCGCGCCTTGCACAACCCAACCCTTCATCGGGCACGATGCTGTCGAAGCTCACTTGGGCTGCTATGCACACCAGCAGCTTGTCTCGTGGCTGAGTAGAACGCTGCGGCAGCTGGTTTAGCCAGCGCGCAAGCAAGGACACGTGAGTCACTGCTACTTTGGGACGACTGTAACTAGAGTTGCTGTAGATAATCATGCCCAAGTTACCATGTGAACAGGTTTTCACTTCCCTTGGTGAGCTCTCGGGAATGGGGTCACGGGGTCCGACGGCAACATCTTCCTGATGCGGCTTCCGACTGAGCATCCAGCCTGCAGGTGTGTTGGGGTGTCTCGCGGTGGCAGGCTGCAGTCCGCGCTCCCATCGTGGCCCAGGATGTCGCATGTCTGCTGCAAGCACTTCCCATCTGTGCGTCTGTACCCCCTTGTGAAGTGTCCGTTCACATCTGCTTGTATCCAGTTGGTTATTGATGTAGTTCCGTTGAGTTGTGCGAGTCCTTTATGTATTCTGAACACAAATCCTGTGTCAGGTATGTGGTCGGCAAGTGTCTTTCCAGGTCATAGCTTATAGTTTTATTCTTCAATATTTTTCACAGAGCAAATCTTAAATTTTGAGTAAGTCCAATTTGCCTGTTTTCTCTTTCATGGGTTGAGGTTTTGGTGTCATGTCTAAGAAATCTTGCCTAACTCCATGTCATGACACTTCTCCCTGAAGTTTTATGTTTTACCTTTAGGTCTATGATCCGTGTTGAGTTAACTTTTGTACAGCGGTCAGGTTTAGGTCAAACATGTATGGACATGGGCAGCTATCCCAGTTCTGTCATTTGCAAAAGACAATTCTTCCTTCGTTGAGTTGTTTGTGAACCTTTGTCAGATATTGATTGGCCGTATTTTTGTGGGTCCATTTACTGACTTTCTAGTCTGTCCCACTGATTTACGTATCTTTCCTTTCCCAAAACAGGGAATGTTTTTGCAGTTACTGTAGCTTTGCAGGGAGTCTTTCAGTCATGTACTATGATTCCTCTTCTTTCTCAAACTTCTTTCAGTTATTCTAATTTCTTTGCCTTTCCACATTTCCGAATTCAGAATCAGCTTGTCTCTATCTGATGGAATGTTTACTGGCAAAGGAGTAAATGCACAGGTACCGCTCCTCAGGTGCCACATGTCAGATGTGGTGGCGGACATAGATTCGGGCAAAGACTGCCAGCCTCCGTATCCTCAGGTGTGGTCAGCCCGCAGAGGTGCTACTGAGGCCGTCAATATTTTTTTTACATGAACACTTTATGTATTAGAGTTGGTTTAACAAAATCTCCAAAGGCCTCACGACCCTCCTACCGATGGGACCATGCCCCTCCCTCAGTGCCCCCCAGCCCCATGGGGACTCCCATCTCCCCACCCTGCACATCTGTGGAGGGGGCCCGGGGCTGCTGTACTCTGCCCCCTGAGGGACTCGGGCCAGCCTCCACCTGGGGCTGTGCCTGCTACGGGGCCTGTACACCAGCCCTTACCGTTTTGGTTGTGTCCTCAAAGACCTCGCGGGCTTCCTCAAAGGAACACATCTCCTCCATACATTCTCTTTCCAGGTTGCCTTTTTTCATCTCCTCCAAAAACGAATTGGCCCTGCGGACGCGCCCCAGGACGCTGCTGGCACGTTCCGGGCTGAGAAACACTGGCAGACAGGCAGGGACATGTCACTCGGGAGGCCTCAATGGCTGGCCTGCTCCCCACCACCACCCCTGCAGGATCTGCTCACCTCCACTCTGCAGGAGGCCTCCCTTCTTTGTGCCCACCTCCCTCTCGACCCCATGCATGACCAGGCCACCAGTGGCTTTCTGTGTGCCCATCCTGCCATCCGGTAGCTCCCTGCATGTCCCATGCAACTACACCAGCTGCCAAGCCATCCCTCACCTCTCCCTGCACCTCTCCCTGCTCCCTGCTGCTGTTGCCCTGGCCCCCACCTGCGCCCAGCCCACCACGCTTCTGGGGCTTCACGCACGGTCATGGGGAACGGTGGTGCCCTTCTTAGCACGCTTTATCAAGTCCCAGGACACACACACACACACACACACACAGAAAACAGCACTTAGAGGAAACAGTACTTATCACCACATTTTCTACTCAGTTTCTGTTCTATTTCATTCACAAATCACTGAATTGGGAAAAGTTTTCCATTAGCAATAATCGTGCCTCGGATAAACCTCATTGGCTATGATACTGCCACTGAGCAAAGCTGCAAACCACTGAATAGATCAGAGACTCAAAGAAGTCCTGACCTGCCGCCCCCCCCCCCCCCGCCGAGATATCTTGGATCAGAGGGCCTCGGGCTGTGTCCTGTGCTGAATCCCTCGCGTGCTCCCCTCTGCCGAGGACTCTTCCCCGCACTCTGTGCCCTCACAGAGCCTCCCCCCACCCATCAGGACCTACGTCCTGAGTTCCGTCCTCCCCTTTCCACAGGGCAGGCAGCACCCCCACGTGCAAACCCAGAGCCTGCTGGGGACAGGCAGCGGAGCTTCAGATGGCTCGTTTACCTACTGCTTAGTGTTGGCAAATGGGGGTCACCAGCCGAGTACTTCCGAGTTGTCTTAGCGCCGAGGCTGGCAGGTGCTCAGTAAATGTTAGCTTCACCCCCGCCTCACAGTGCTTTCCCTTCCAAGGCCACATGTCTTTTAGTGACATCGCTGTCACCCCCATGACACTGTGGGCACCCCCATCCCCCCAGAGGTCTGGCCTGCGGTGGAATACAAGGGCCCCCCACCTGCAGCTCCGAAGTTCTCTCCCTCACCCCACTTCTCACCACCTCCTCATTCCCCACACAGTGCCCCCTGCCTGCCCCTCTGCCTCAGGCTTCCCCTGCAACAGGGGCACAGACAGCCTCCAGGCCCCCACCTGCCCCCTCCTGCCCCTTCCTGCCCCCTACTGCACTCTCCCACTCCCACTCCCCCATGTGGCTTCACCTCTTTCTGAGCCCCTTCCCCCTGCCAAGCCAGCCTGAGGGTGTAGGCACCAACTTCTATCTTGTCTTTCCAGCATGACGCTCCTCTCTGCCTGTGACCCCCCGGCCTCCCCAGCCTGCTTTGGCGGTGGAGGGGCACCTCCTTCTGTCTCTCTGTCCGCGAGCTTCTGTGTGTGACCGCTGCTCTGCTGTCCAGCTCCCCAGCTGCAGGGAGGGAGGCTCACCTGGCCCCGAGCTACTCTTGGCTGAGGCCTCCAGGCCCAGTCATGTCACAGCAGGGGGTGGGCACCCACCTTCCCCCTACGGAGACTTGGGGGCCTGGCCCTGATCCCCAGAGTTCCTCCTCCTCCTTGGGCGCCACCTCCACAGTGTGCCAGGCGACGGGCACTTACCACTGCCCCCCAGCAGCGGGAGGCAGGCCAGGGAAGCGCTGAGCAGGACCAGGCACAGTGGGCCCGCCATGGTGTGGCCAAGGACAGGGTGTCCGTCCTGCTGTGACAGGTCTCGGGGGCAAGGTTCAGTCACCCTGGCTCCAGGCAACCAGTTGTCTTTCTCTTATCACCGCCTCCTGATTGGAGCCTGGGCCACGAGGGGGCCAGGGACAGGTGACCATGCGAGGGCACGGCCACCCTGCTGCAGCGGCTCTGGGGAGGTGCCGGCGTCAAGAGGGGTTCAGGGGTTTACGAGACAATAAAAACCTCATCCCAGGTTTCCAGGATCCCGTTTGCTGTCATCCTGTCCTTATGTCCACGATGACAGTCAGGGGTCATTTCCCCATCTTTTCTCCAGATTTAGTGTTGGTTCACGCCATCTGAGGTGCATGTGGGTTCCCCCACCCCCACAGTTCAGTGGTCCTAAGAGGCAGGGTGAGTACCATAGGTGTCTGCATGCACTTCTGGGAGGCCCGTGCCAGCCCAGGACCAGGCAGCCTGAGGTCAGGACATGCCCACCCGTCCCCCAGCCCTGGCGCTAAGCTACGGAAGTACCTCTGATGGGGGATTCGCCTTGCACACCCTCCTGGGGTGGGGGCCTCGCAGTGAGGCTGTCACACAAAGGCCAGTCTGGGAGAAGAGGTGAGGACAGCCCACCCCATGGCCCGTCCGCAGTCCCTAAGGGCAGGGACGTATGGAGGGCACCTGGCCTGTGTGCCGCCTGCAGAATGCAGGAGGCTCATCTGCTTGGCTTTCACCCCAAGAGGTACTCCCCCACTCTCCCCACTGGGGCCGCGTCCCCTCTGGAAACATGGCAGCACCAGGAAAAGCTCAGGTCTGTGCTGGTGGAAAGCAGCACCCCCATGGCGATCAGGCCAGGGAGGGAGGGGTGCTAGCCAGGTGCCAAGGCCCCTGGGAGGGGAGGAGACAGACCCAGTGACACAGCGACACTGCACTGTGCACCATAGCACCTGCTACGTAGCCCTGACACATCGTGCATGTGGCCAGCAACGATGGACGCCCACAGTCACTGGGACATAAGCCTCGTGTGTCTGCTTGTTCGCTGCCCTGTCTCCAGCACAACAGGTGCTCAGCAAACCCCAACAGACTGAAGGAGTCCGAGATGTCCCTGTCGGCTCGTACTCTGGGTGCTGGGCCAGGCCTGGTCTTCTTTTTTTTTTTTTTTGTTTTTGTTTTTTGCAGGCCTGGTCTTCTGCAGGGTGTATAGTGTTCTATGCAGGGCCCAGCCCTTGGGGCCAGTCAGGATGGGTAATGTTGTCTCTGGTGTGTCCAGCATGTGAGGGAGACTGGATCCTTGGTGAGCCCCTCCTATCCCCAGCCCCTGGGGGTGGGAGATGATGTGAGGACATGCGCAGAAAGAGGGAGGTGATCCGTAGCGGTCAGCGCAAGGGCACGTCAGGTGTGTTAGACTTTAGAGACCATTCCGACGTTGCCGGGCACCCATGCCATGGCAGCTCTGTGGAGCAAGGGCCTGCATCTCCTCCTGTGACTTGGGAAATCGAGGCAGAGCCAGAAACCCCAGGGCCCTTTCTAACCCTGTTTGTGTCTGGGTGTCTGTCTTCAATCCATACTCCCCTTTTCTTTCCAGGCAGAGGGGTGAGTCCTCCTGTCGGTGGAGGACTCCAGAGGCTGGCACACCAGCCTCACCTGCAGAGCCCTGACTCTACGGAGCCCTCCTAGGAGCCTCATTTTACGTGCTCAGGACCCACCCTTGTGACCAGCATCAAGGATCTGGTTTCGTAGACAAGGAGCCAGGGCATAGAGTGGAGAAGCAGCTTGGCCAAGAGTGGGAGGGGGAACCCATCTAGCACAACGTCATGCGGGACACCCTCGTGCTAAGCCCTGGGCGGGTGGCAGGCTGGGCAGGCATCAGCCTCTTGTGTAAAGGCCCAGATGGCAAACACACCTGCCTCAGGGGCAGAAGGTCTCTATCCTCACGGCTCTGTGCTGCGGTTCTGAGCAGCCAAGGATGCCAAGTAGGGACTGAGCACATCCCAGTAACACCTTGACAAAAATAGATGACAGACACAGTGGCCGTAGCCTGTGGCCCCTGGTCCACTCTACATTGGACTTGTCTTGACTCTTCGGCCCTGTGAATCCCGGCGCCCAAATGCAGCAGTGTTGAGCACTGTTGGCACTCCAGGCATGGGGCGGCCAGGCGCCGTGCCCCCAAGCGTGTCCTGAGACGGGGTGAGGTGCCTACAGGGTGTGTTCTTACCTACCGAGCCGTGTCAGCTGCCCCCTCGGACAGCATGTTTCTCACTCCTCCGTGGCCTAGGTGACTTCAGGCTGAGGGGGCTCCCCAGTCACTGGGGAGCTTGATAAAAATGTCACTCCCTGGGTCCTTCCCCTGATCCCGCACATGTGACAGGACCAGGGAACCGGGCAGCTCTGGGGCAGGGGTGCCCTGGGCCTCTCGCTGAGGACCATCATCAACCAGGGCCTCAGTTAGGGGGAGAACACCCAGTTCTATAAGCTTTGGAGAACCCGTCAGTGCGATCCAGAAGGAGGAAGGCAGATCTCAGGGGCGCTGTGGGCCTGAGAGAAAGACTGGCTCCAGGACGAGTGTTAGGGCCTCAGCAGGGTGAGCGTGGATATGGCACAGTGGCAGGCAGCACCGACATGTGCACAGGAGGTGCGCCAGTAGAGGGGGGCAGGTGGCAAAGGTCGTCTGGAGTGACAGCCTCCTGTTTTATGGGAAAAGCTACATATACAGAAAGATCTTGAAGGATAGCCAGCCAAGCAAATGGGTGGTGCTTCCAGTGTGTGTGAGATGAACAAGAGAGGAAGGCACGAACGCAAAGGTGGCTCTCGGAAAACAATGCTGCCCTTCCCCAGCCTGGTTGCGTCTGTCCCCAGACACATCTGTCCCTGTCCCCCACCTCCCACGTCCTGCTCAGCCTGCTTTGTGCCCCCTCATGCCCCAAGAAGTGCAGGGGTGTTTCTGGACGTGAGGACGGGACAGGCAGCAGCTTTATTCTGGGCCAGCAGTGGCCCTGGGGCTAGGGCAGTGGGGCCCGGAGGAGGCCTCTCAAGGTATGGCTGGAGACCATGAGCTGGCGCAGCCACTTGATGTACTGGGAGACCCTGGTGTACACTCCAAAGTAGCCTTCGGCCGCACAGCCCTCCCCCCAGCTGACGACACCTGTCAGGTACCATGTGCCCTGGAACTTCGTGGCATGCGGGCCCCCGCTGTCCCCCTGGCAGGCGTCCTTGCTCCCGTCCAGGTAGCCGGCACAGAACATATTCTCAGTGATGGCGGGGGAGCCACTTCTCCTGCGGGACTGCTCCTGGCAGTCCTGGGTCATCACCCGAGGCACGTCGATGGCCATGAGCTGGAGGGCCGTGGCGCCCCTGTCAAGCAGCTGGCCCCAGCCGCTGACAGTTGAGAAGCGGATGAAGGCCAGCGTCCTCTCAGAGAAGGTCTTCTCGGGCAGACACAGAGGCACCACATGGTCGGTGTAGGCCACGGGTGTGCGCAGGTGCAGCAGGGCGATGTCATGGTTCGTCTTGAGGGGAATGTACTTATCGGGGACGATGACCTGGGCCACATGCCGCTCCTGCTCATCACCGTCGTCCTCACTGAGGTCATGCTCACCTGCAGGGGACTTGCACTGCTCACCCCATGCCCCGCAGCCTCCCTTTGGGGCCTTAGGGGCCCTGTGTCCAGCCCCAGGCTGGCGGGAGCAGTGCCCCAGGCAGCCACCACTGGGCTCCGGCTGGAGTGTGAGTCAGGGTGAGTCTGGGGTGCTGAGGGTGAGTGAGGAGGAATGCTTAGCTCCCCCAGTCCATCCCAGACCCTCCCAGGGGTGCTCAGCATCCTGTTGCCTACTGGGCAGAGGTGCCCACCATGGCCCACACACCCCTGGGGCCTCGGGCCCAAGTGAGACAGGGGCATAGAGCATCACCCCCGTGACTTTATGTGATGGGAAAGAGGCTGGGGGAGCATGGCCACAGGGGGACCTGGGGCACTGGGGTCTACCCAGATGCTGCCCCATTTCTCTTTTTGGAGAAGCTTATCCAGTTGTGGAAATTGATAAATTGATGGAGGGACCACGAGACCTACCCAGCACCACCGTCAGGTTTTTCCAGTTCTTGATTCTTTCGAAGCAGTGAGCTGCAGAGACGACCCAGGCAGTGTCGATCAGGGTGCCCCCACACAGCAGCTTCCCATCCACCTTCACTGCCGCCTGGCAGGGCACAACAGATGCAGGTCCCAGTGCTGTCACCCTGGGGACTCACCTTTCCCCTGTAGCTAGCGATGGCCACAGAGAGCTCACAGACGCTGGGCTGACTACAGGGTACACGCCCAGCATCACCACCCAAGCTGGACCCCACACTCCTGGTCTGAGAGGCTGGCCAAGCGTGGTGCTCTGGGGCTCGTGGAAGGGGAGGTATGGAACGGAAGCAGGGTGCCCTCCGTCAATGCTTCCTTCTCTTCCCAAAAGCAAGGAGGATGCTGAGTAGGTCCCGAGTGAGGCTTGTGGTTTTCCCTGCAGTGGTTTGCCCACAGTGGATGGAAGGAGCTGGAGTCCCTAGCCAGCTGGTCTGCAGACGGGGAGGGACTGAAGGGCCAGAGAGAGGCAGGTCACTACATGTGATGGTGAGGCTGATCAACCAGGGAGGAAAGAGCCCGGATGCAGGGTCAGTGTGCCAGAGTCCTTGTATCCTGAGCATGAACAGCAGGACCCAGGGTGCTGGGGACATCCCCCTTCCTCACCCAAGCTAGCATCTACTGGGCCTTTTGGAGAAAGGTCTTCCTGTGTGGGTAAGGACAGGTGCTTGCGGCTCAGCGCCTCACCCTGATCTGTTACAGGCAGACTGTCAGGCTCCCGGAAATGCATCTGGGCCTGGCTGACCATGGCTTGTGCTGCAGCCATGAAGGTGGTCTGGGGTGGCTCTTACTGCTGAATCTGAGTCTGAGTTTCAGTGGGCCTCAGTTTCCTGACTGGTAACATGGGTGAGGTGGCCCTCTGTCTTGGGGGTGGGGTAAGTGGTCCTGAGAGGGGAGATCCTGGTGCACATGTGGGCATGAGTGCTGGCTGTGCTCCCCCCAGACAGCCCTCCCAGAGG